TTGAAATGTGTATCTTTTTTCTGAATCATACCATCTAGCACATGAAACAACAGAAACCGCATCTCAATATTTGAAATATTTTTATATTAATTTACCAACCTTTCACAAAAGAAATTTCATCAACAGTTGATCACTGTTATGGTTCATGTAATAAAAAAATCTGGAGTCCAACACAGGGAACCATAGTTAACAAACACAGTAAATACTACAACTGTGCTATAAATGTTTTCATAACTTCTGCTTGTGTTAAGAATATCTGTAGTGGTTTTCTACATGTCATTCTGAATTAGGTAAATCCTAGGATAATATTTTAAATTTCATGCATTCCATAGATGCATATTTACTAAGTGGTGATATATACACATATATATATTCAAATTGCTATGAATAGTTTTGTACATTGATTACTCAGGTTAAAGATGTAGAGGTGTTATTATGATAATAGACTTTAAAATTATTGATGCAATATATATTTTTTGGTTTTCATTCATGGTCCCCAGCTCATAACTACCTCCCCAAGGCAGGCCATAGAAACTAGAATACCTCCTGCCTAAGGCAGGTCACAGAGACTCTAATGTTCCCTCCCACCTTTCTGCCTTGGAGATGACTGTAAAGAAATTCTCTAACCTACTTCATCTAATAGTAAATGAGAAGACCCCCATTTCAGAAGGAATCTTGCCCAGGCCCTTAAGGAAGGAATGCTGCACAGAGAAGTGAAGAAGTTAAAACAGGCCTTACTGGGTTTCCACAGTCTATTAGAATTAGATCATATCTCTTTTTGTCGAATCACATTTCAATATGGTATCTGTGCTTCAATTATGCATATGCAATGAAGTCTCCATAAAAACTCAGGACAGGGCTCAGAAGGCTTCTGGATAGCAGAATATTTGGACATTCCTGGAGAGTTTTATACCCACACAGGTCATGGAAACTCTATACCCCTTCCTATGCATCTCATCTGTATCCTTTGTAATAACCTTTATAATAAATCAATAGATAAGTAAATGTTACCTGAGTTCTGTGAGCTGTTCAAACAAATTAACCAAACCCAAGGAGAAGGTTGTATGAACCCTGATTTCTAACAGGTTGTTTAGAAGCACAAGTAAAACAATCTGGGGCATACAGCTGGCATCCAAAGTACAGATGGTAGCACCAATGTTGGAGACTGAGGCCTCAACCAGTGAGATTTGATGCATTCTCCCAGTAGATAGTGTCAGAATTGAATTAGAGGACACCTAGATGGTGTCCATTACAGAACCGATTGCTTGCCGGTAGGGAGAAATCCCCACACTCCTTACTTTTCCCACACAATTATGCATTAGATTAAAATATACTGATCTTCTTTAAGAAAATACCAAGTAACTTTGGGAAAAGGGAGAATTTAATTATAAGTCATATGTGACTCATTAAGGAAATTAACAGTAGAGTGAAGGCTTATTTTACAGAAGAGAATGAGCAGCCAGACTACAATTAAGATATTGACTATTTTGTGATTTAGTGAGTTTTATGAAAAGTCTTGCTAATTAGGAACTACCTTCTCATGTGTCAACCACTCCATATATGTACTTACTAAATCATGAGAACAACTCTGAGTATTTTATTAATTTTCTAGTCCAGGGGTTTCATAGTTTACATTTTTTGGTGCTTACTACATATGTCAGGCTCTATATAAAGTATGTTGTCTACATTATTCTGGAAGGTGGGTCTTATTATCCCATTTTTTCCAAGGTTAATGAAGCTTAGAGAAGTGAAGTAAGACTATTATTAGTCAATGGAGCAAGATTCACACATAGGTCTGATTCCAATACCTATATGATGACACTATCTGGCCTCATAGATTTGCTTACATAAACATTACTTATAAATAGTACTCATTAAAACTGAAATGTGAAGCAACTCCATTAGAATACAGAGATTACCACAAATTGGTTTTCAACATAATCAAATTCTGCTTCTAATATTTATTTTTGAAAATTGGTCAAACATGTTCATCTTCCAGTTAAGAAAAGAATCCAAAAGCTGGCTATCATTTGTTTTCACTATGAAAAGACTTTTGCCAAGTATATTTTGAGCTAGAGTAGTCCAGAGCATAGGCACTGGAGCTGACTTCAATTCTACCACATGTGCCCTCAGACACATTCTATCACTTCTGTTTGGTTCTTTTGTAAAATGGGATTCATTTGTACTAACTGTAGTGATGTATTTGACACTTGTGATCATTAGTTTAAGTCATATAAAGCGTTCAACTGACACATTAACACATAGAGAATGTTGACTCACTTATTCAAATCCAAAGGCTTATTCCCCTCTTCCAGTTTTTTAAAAAAATACTTTATTTTTTAGAGCAGTTTTATGTTCACAACAAATTGAGCAGGAAATAGAGAAACCTTGTATATCCCATGATCTCACACACATGCAGTATTCCCCAATCTCAACATCCTCCTCCACAGTGGGACATTTGTTACATGATTGATTGAACCTACACTGACACACCATTAACACTCAAAGTACACAGTTTAATTGGCATTCACTCTTGGTGGTGTTTTGGCATGCACCTATTGTATTATTATACAGAATGGTTTTGCTGCTGTAAAAATCCTCCGTGCTCCACCTATTCATTTCCCCCTCTCCCATCTGACCCCCTGGTAACCACTGATTTATTCAGATAGCTTTGCCCTTTATAGAATGTTACAAAGGTATAATCTTACAGTACTGTGGCTTTTTCAGGGGGGTTTCTTTCATTCAGTTGTATATATTTTAATATTTCTCCATCTTTTCATGACTCGATATCTCATATTTTTTAGCAATGAATAAAATTCCATTCTACGATGTACCAGTTTATCCATTCACCTTCTAAAAGACATCTTAGCTGCTTCCAAATTTTGGCAGTTATAAATAAAGCCAGTTAAACACACATATAGTAGTGTGGACTTAAGTTCTCAACTCTTTTGTGGGAAAGACCAAGAACAACTGCTGTATTATATAGCAAGAATGTTTACTTTCTTAAAAAAAAACCTGCCAAACTGTTTTCAAAAGATGTAGTACTGTTTTGTGTTCCCACAAGCAGTGAGTTTCCCAACCAGCAGTTGAATGAGTTTGTTTTTCCACAACCACGGCAGTATTTTGTCAGTATTTTAGCTTTTAACAATTCTAAAAGGTATGTAATGCTGTCGGTATTTTATAAAAATTTTTCATGAAATGAAACATTGTGGAAAAGTTAGTCCCAAGAAATAGCATAGTAATGTTGATTACTGCTGAAACTATGTACACTTGGCTGAAAGCCTAAGCAACTATTTATCTTCCTAAATTCATTTCAGTGGAGTTTGCTTATTTGTTCCCCATTGTTTGAGGAATTAGTGCAACTTACACCTTAGTCTTCCGACTACATTTTGTACCCAAAAGGAAACAGGATTGAATAAAACAATCGAAACTGCTAAAAGAGGAAAAGAAATCAATAAATCTTAATAACCTGGTTAGCTACTTAAAACTGACACTGACTACACTGTCACAATTGTATTGAGTCTCCACAATTCTTGAATGTAAAGACATCAGTCAAGTCCAACTTGACATCCCAGTAGAGAAAGAAGAGTACAGTACATCTACTTTCACAAACATTAAAGTGCAGTTGTAATCATAAAAGGAGTTGTAATAAGGAACAATCTCCTTAAGACTTTGGAACTCTTTGAGACAGGGTGTCACTATGTAGTCCAGGCCGTCCTTGAATTCCTCCTGTCTCCTCTGAAAACAAAAATATTCCGGCACCTGGGGAGGCTGAGGTAGGAGGATCACGAGTGGGTTACATAGCGAGTTCCAGGACAGCTTAGGCAACACAGCAAAATCCTGTATCAAAAAGCAAAACCGACTAAACAAAACCTTCGGCACAGAATCTCACGAAGATTTTGAAAGACTGCTCTAGGGGTAGGAGGTCTTCTTTAAAACTTTCCAGATAATGGAAGGGGGGCCAATTAGAAAACGAGTAGTGCACTTTAAAAGGTCGGTGCACAACACAGAGGTTTTGTCCACTATAAAGGCTAGATCATACTCACAGAGGACACATTTCACCAAGAGCTGCATCACACCCCCAAACAGACAACACTTCATTTTCTAAGCACCCTCAGCAAGGAAGAGAAAGTCTGAAGCATCAGGCACACAATCCGTTTTCTTCGTACTCCGAGCCTCCTTCAATCCTTTCCCCACCGTTGTTTCATCCGCCGGCCGGCGGAGCCTAAGTGTCTCTAGAGCCAGAGAGACCACAGTTGCGCCCAAAGAAAACGCCTTCCTTTACAGCATCAGGATAGAGGGTGACAAATTCCCCAACATGAAGACAGAAGAGAAGCTGACAACTTCCGCCACACAGGCCAGGATTGAACCAAGCTCCAATAACCGGACACCTTTTTCGCGCTCAGATTTAGCCGGAAGTGACGCCGCTAGATGGCGCGCGGGGCCGCCCCGCGGGAGAGGCGGGCCGGAGGGGGGCGGGGCGCGGCCGCAGCTCCGTTTCCGGTGGCTCGTCGCGCTCGCTCACTGCAGCTGCAGCCACTCTCGCCCGTGGCTGCTTCCTCCATCCTGGTATTTTTTGGAGCCTCCATCCTGGTTCTTCCAAAGTGCCCGGACCCAAAACAGGAAGTAAGTGCGATGGAACCTTCAGGTCCCAACTGCCGCCAGAGCCGCTCCGCCCAGTGGAGTCTGTCCGGCCCCCTTGCTGCCCTCTAGCTCTCGCTGGCCGACTGCCGGCATCCAGGCACCGCGGCAGGGTCGGAGCCAGGCCTCCATTAAGCTGAAGCTACCGGATTGCCGGACGCTTAGAACGGGGCCTTCTTCTCAGAGCGGTGCTGGCGGTGGGGGCTAGAGCAGCAGAGCTGAGGAGCGAGCGGGCGCTGAGGCACTAGCGCGGTCCGACGGGGGCGGAAAATGGCGGCGGCTTCGAAGGAGCTAAATGGCGCCGGGACCCCTGGGGGGTGGGGTGGGCCGAGAGGTTTGGTGGAGAATTGGGACCAGTTAAGGAAACCTTACTTGTTTTCTTGTGGTCCTTTTTTATTTCCCTTTAATAACGTTTCCGTTTTTGTTGTGTAGTCCAGTGAAGGAGAGGTGGGCTTGGGTGGGGTTGAGTGGGACGGGTGTCGCCCCAAGTCCCCCACCCTCTTTTCCTTTTTCATGTTTGTGTGTCAGACTCTCCTTCCATCGGTTTGGGTTCAGCCTTTGCTGAGCGGTCCCAGGGGTCGCTGGCCGCTGCGTGTGTCTCTCTCCCCCGTCTGGCCGGGGTGCGGGAGAGTCCTAACCCAAGACCGAAAATCCGCCAGGACGTTTTCGAAATTTTAAAACCTGTTTTGCCCTCTAAAATGGGCTTCGTTTTGAGACCCTCCTCAGGGGACGAGGTTAGAGGGTTTTCCCTCATCCCTGGAGTAGACTCCAGAGAAGCGGCCCGCTGTTCGTGCAGTCAAATGACACAGCGTGTGTTTGGGTCGGGGAGGAAACGGCGGCGACGGTTCCCCGACGGCTGCCCGGCCGCCGCCTCATTCATTCCTCACGGTCGTGACGCCGCGGGCGGGGACGTCTGAGAAAATGCGCGCTCCGAGCTAACTTAACACTCCCAGTCCGGTGCTCCAAATAATGCCACCTGTTCGTTTGTTTTTTAATTGCAACTGTGGTTTTCATTCGGGAACGACAACTATTTGTAGCTCTTAGGCTCCAGTTCATGTCAGAAAATAATCTTTGATTGTTTTTGAAAGTTTTACGAAAATAATCTTTGATTGTTTTTGAAAGTTTTACGAATAAAATAATCTTTTATTGTTTGTCCTTTTTCGGTTATGGATATTTGTGTGTGGGGGGGGTTCCTATTCAGATTTCTTTTAGTTGGTTTCAAATTCGTGTTTTAAGTAACTTTGAGGATTATTGGATCTTGATTATTTTAGTAATTCGAGTAATTGACCACGCACTACTTGAACGAATTCCAGCTGTTGGTGATAACGCGCCAAAATTTTAGCCTTTTATTAGGGTGGTAAAGTATTAAGATTTACAAACTTAGTTCAGATTTAGAAAAATAAAAGTTTAAAATTATATTTCTTAACACTACAAAAATACCATGCTGAGCGAATAACAACTTGGTGAGGGAATGAAGTAGTTGTTTTTTCCAGTCACAAATAATAGCTTGATCCTATCTGGGTACCTCTCATTCCTCAAGTGTGTGCTACAAAACTGTAATTTTTTAATGCACTATTTTAGTTGATAGGCTCGCCCCAAAATTCGCTTTGGGGGCTGAATAGAACCTGCCTACCCATGAATCTCTGTAATTGACAGTTCAGCTATAAGATGCAGCCAAAATGCTATTCTTGCCCCGTCTTCATCATTTAATCAGTAAGTACTGGGCATTGCATACTTTAAAAATATTTAAGTTCATATTTTTATTGGAATAAATATATAGTATATAAGCCTTTTTCCTCTGGATATTCAGGTTTAGAAGTATTTTGAAAGTAGTTTTAGTGGGAAATGGTATTGGTTGAAAAACATTAAAAGTACATACCCTCTGTAGACGTTTTTAAAGTCTTTCGAGTTACCTTTTCTTTTTAAGATGGAGTTTCATTCCAGCCCAAAGGTGTTTTAAAGGGGAAATACGTGTATTAATAAGGTTAGGTAGATAATCAGTAGTTAGTAATTAACAACAACAAAAATTGCCCTTCCCCACGTATTGCTTACCTTTCTGTTAGCTTCATTTGTTTCTCCAACAACTACAGGCCTTAATTTTTGTTGATAGTGTAATAAATTTACATGTCTTGAAACTAACCTCATTATTTTGAACTGTTGCTTTTGTCATGGTTCATAAAGTACATTGGCTTAAATAATCACCTGTAAGAATGAACAAAATAATAAGAAACAAATGTCCCTAAAGATTTGCAGCCTGACACATGGATTTTGTTAATGAGGGGGCTTAGAAATATTTCCGAAAGTATTGAGGAGCAAGCTCACAGTTGTATTGAATACACAGAGATGTGTGTCATAGTGGCGATAAGGAAGGATCCATTCCACTTTTTAAAATATCCTGTGTAGAGGCTGCCTTTTAGATCTGAGATGTTGCACTGCCTTCTCAAATTGGAGTTTTCCTTAATAGTCCATTTTCTCTAACCACCGTAATTTTCAGCACTTTTTCCACATAACAATTCCCTAGAAACTGGTATGGGTAGATGCAATGCAGTTTTAGCTCCAGAACCTTTTTCTGTCTCTTATGTGGTTGAGAAAGTGAAGCCTGTTGCCAAGTGTTAATTGTAAAATGCAGATAGTGATAAAATGTACACAGTATGCATTTGCTTTCATATCATTTCTCCATTTGTGTTGATAAAATTTTTGTTTAGTGAACAGAATTTTTATAATAGAAATCACAAATAGGTTTGTTTGCTTTGAGTCCAAAGATAACTTGATAGCATTTAAATAAAAAGGAAAAACCTATTTGTCGTGTCTGTTTTTTCAAGTTTGTGGAAAGATAGCACATTCCATTACTGAATACCAAATGTCAGGAAAAAACAAGTGCTCTCTTTATGAACTGTTTCTTTCTTTTTCTTTTTTTTTTTTTTTTTAAGATCATCCTATGTTTTAAAATACTATCTTGGTTGTGTACATCGTCATTCCATTCTTCCAAACACTGGTGGTAAAAGCTAACCGTTCCCTTACCATATAGTAAAAGAAATACTCATTAAGTTTATTTACTGCCTGTGTGTATTTTGTATTGGGTAAGGAAGTGTGCTTTTAAAGATTAACTCGAATGTAAATCAGGAATGTGGTAGTTTGTATTTCCTTTTAAAGAGTTTCTGATGGTTGCTTGCATAAAAGTGCTCAGTTTTGAATTGGTGAAATTTTTCAGTGTAGACAAACACTAGCTCTTAAATCATGCACTGATATAAAAAAAAAGTCTTTTTTTAAACAGGCAGTACAATTTTATTGGCAAGCCAGGTTTGAAATCTTGCACCTTAAAAAGACCCATATTATTACCAAGTAATTCTCCTTATTTAAAAATAGCGACATAATTTTAAGTAATTAAAGCCTACTAGAATAGACTTCCATTAACAACTTTATTGATACTATGGTGTATACCCATATTTTATCATTTTTAAAATCAAGCCATGATGAAAATTAATTAGTTCGTTAATCGGTATGCTTTATGTTGAGCTATAAATCTTCTTAAAATACACAGAAAACCAATTTTCAGGAATCTGGAATTATGTCCAAAATACTCTACCTCAGGCAGGAAGTATTTTAATTCCTGTGTGGAGTAAAATTGGTAGTCAGGAAGGTATTTTCCTCAAGCGTGCAGTATTCTTATGTGGAATAAAATTGGTACTCATGAAGATATTTTTCTGTGGCCTCATCTGTTTTCTGATGCCCTTCTATGTACCTTACAGGATGTGAGAATTTGTTATGTATTATCTACCACTAAGATTTTTCTATTTAGCAAAAATATTTTTAATTCTTTCATAATTAAAACATCCTAAAGCCAGGCACCAGTGGCTCAAATCTGTAATCCTAAGTACTTGGGAGGCAGAGATCTAGAGGATTGCCCTTCAAGGTCTGCCTAGGCAAAACATAAGACCCCAACCAGTAGCTGGGTGCAGTGGCACATGCCTGTCATACCAACTACTGGGGAAGCATAATAGGATCACAGTTCAGGTTGGCTAGGGTAAAAGGCAAGATGCTATCTCCAAAACAACCAGAGCAAAAAGCATTACAGGCATGGCTCAAGTAGAATGCCTGCCTGGCAAGCACAAAGCCCTGAGTTCAAACCCCAGTACTTTTACTAAAGTATTTCTTATATACAATATTAGGTATGATGGTAATGATGAGGGATTTTTTTTTTTATAAATGGTGTAACTTCAAAACCAAAAATTTCAGTAATATTTACTGACAGAGTAGATACTAGGTACTCATTAAAAGTGTGGAGTATAAAAAGTATTGAAAAGTACAGCAAGTGTAAAAGTTATGAAGAATGAATATGAGCTGCATGCTAGTGGCTCACACCCATAATCCACCTACTTGGGAGGCTGAGATGGGGAGGATTTGTGGTTCAAGACCAGCCAAGCAAATAGTTTTTGAAACCCGATCTCCCAAATAATCAGAGCACTGTACTGAAGGTGTAGATCAAATGGTAGAGGGCCTTCTTTGCAAGTGTGAAGCCTGAGTTCAAACCCCAGTCTCAAAAAAAAAAAATGTGAATCCAAAACCCGGTGTAGTGGTACTTGGGAGGCTGAGGCAAGAGTATCACCAGCTTGAGGCCATTCTGGGCCACACAGACCTTGTCTTAGATACCAGTATTGTAGAAATAGTAAAAAGGTTATGTTGACACATGAATAAAAGACTTGAGAGGTAGTCATAAAAAGCTAAGGGGACATGAATAATTTTTTTCTGGTACTGTATTGGATCAGGGAAATCTAAAAACTAAATGTGTTCTTGCTGCCTTAAGTTAATGCCTGTCAGTGTTTCTCAACCTTTAACTCATACAGTAAAGTTCTGGTAGTATATGCTTCTATATCTTGCTAGATTTTCTATTATAAGAATATCAACTTTGGTGAATGTTTCTCATGCATTGTAGTCTTATTCCATCTTCCAGTTTAGAATCATGACAACCCAAATATTACCTCCTATGCTTCTCATGATCACCAATAGCATCTGCTCTTCCTCACTTGTCTTAATGCTGTGCTTGGGAACTCATTAAAAGCTGTTTACCTGTTAGCTCCCAAAACTAGGAAGAAATGTGATTTTCTCTGTTTGTTTGGTTTTTAACTGCCCAGAAAGTCAAGTCAATATGTACACTTAATGAAATACCAACTTTAAGACACTATCGAGTAAGAAATGAGTCACTCGTGTTATTCTCCATAAAGTAACTCTTACGTTTAATTATCCAGGAGTGATAATTCGTTATACTTACCCTTTTTAATCTACCAGGTGATTGTATTAAGTAGGGTCATCTTTGGCCAGGAGTGGCACAAGCCTGTAATCCCAACACTTGGGAGGCAGAAGCAGGAGGATAGTTCAAGGCTAGCCTGGCCACATAGTGAGATCCTGACTCAAAAAAAAAAAAAGACCCAAAGGTCATCTTTATTATGGGAAGCTATAAATGGAGGAAGCAAATATATTTCTCAAATGTGAACATATAACAATGCCAGGCTGGTAAAGCAGCTCAAGTGGTTGAATGCTTGTCAAGCAAGTACTTAGGGAGTTCAACCCCTAGTACCACCAAAAAAAGAAAACGCACTATAAATGTTCTGTGGGGCTGGAGCCATGACTCCAGTAGTAGAGTGCTTGCCTAGCAAATGCAAAACCCCAATACCACCAAAAATCAATGTTTTGTGGTACATTTCAGGGATATTTTTCCTTAAACTTATTAAGGTATTGCTATTTAAAGATAGCCACCAAGTAATGAGAACATATCAAAATGCCAATTCACCAGTTAAAATGTTATTCTTTCCTGTATTGTATATTTTTTAATTAGTGTAAAAGCAGTACATATGCTATAACCCATTACAAAAGAAGGGAAAAATCGAAGTATGTTCATGGCATTGTACTCCGAAAAGTTCATGGTAGAGTTAGAGATCTGTGAACCAAGTGGGAAAGTGTTCTAGATATTAAGCATAGTTTGAATGTATAATGAATTAGAATATAGGCACTAAATTATTCAACTTTCTACCCTACAATCATAAGTTGATTTATTCATTGACATTTTTCAATCTCTCAGAAGTATGCTTCTAAATCACACTACTGTGACCTCACTTTTCTCATTCTACTTACCTTCAAAATTAAACCTTATGAAACAGGTTTTCTGTAGTTTGCCGTGTCTTCTGTCCCACTGGCTGGTCCTTCTCAGTCTTTCCTCTTGATTTCCATACATTATAGAGGCCCTAGAACTGGAATCTAAACTGTCTTCTCTAACCTCCAGGTAGCCTTTAAGAACAATTTGCATGCCAGTATCTCAGGTTTATAAGTATAATCCAGGCCTGTTGAGCTCAAGTTACATATCCATCATCAACTTGGCAGTTTCATTTGGATGCCTTATACCTCAAATATTAATATTGGTGGTATTTTAAAGTAATGTATAGTAATATCTCTAGGCTTAAATGCCTCAGAAGTTACTCAGCTGTTCAAGCCAGAGTCCTAGGAATCATCTTGAGATGGCTTCCTTTCTCTTGGTTTCTGTCTCTTCATTTAGCAAATGCTGTCCACCTTGCAACCAAAATATATCCTCTGTCTAGTTTCTTAATTGCTGCCACCCAAACTTCAATCATTTCTTTATAACTTACTCCTTTATCCATTCTATATACTATAATCTGAGAGAGCTGTTAAAAATGTAACTGTGATCTACCCCAGTCTAAGTCTGCTTTTTGTTGTGACCTTGAAATATCTGAGGTAGGCTCACTTTAAAATGAACTTTATTTAGCTCACAGTTTTGGAGGCTGAAAGTCCAAACAGTGTGTTACTGGCTATGGCGAGGGCCCCAGAGCAAGTATTAGGAGCATAAGGAGGAAGAGTTGACATCTTAAAACTGGAAGCCAGAGACTGAGGTCCCAAGATCCTTGTTGAGGACACAAGCCCAACTGACCTAAGGACTTCTAAGTAGGCTCTGCCTCGTAAAGGTTCAATACCGTCTCCCACTGACATCCTAGAGAAGGTGACAGGCCACTATGTCCAGTTGAGATGGAGGTCTTCCCAACTTTTTGCTGAAGTTGGCTTTGAACCACTATCCTTCCTATCTGTGCTCCCCTCCTCACTACCGCCTCCCCCCAACAAACCCCCAGTAGCTAGTATTACAGGCATGAGTGTGCCTGGCCATTACTTTTTTTTTTCCTGGATAGTTTTTATTTTGTTGATTTGTATTTTTTTTCTTTTATTGATTTATAAATATAGTTGTTTCAAGGTTACTAAGAGTGGAGCTTATACCTCACAGGTTGGAATATAAATTTGTGCAAACTTTAGAAAATAGACTGAAGTATCATAAAGAATTCTAAATTGTGTCATATCCTTAGATACAGTTTTCAGATATTGTTAAACAAATAGATTAAAAGAATGTTTGTTTCAATCTAGTTTAGGGAAAATTAAAAATGTCGATAGGGGACATTTGTTGGTTTGTTAAATAATGTCACATTTTTATGCAGCATGAGTTGTGAATGAAAATTTTCCATTAAATACCTCATTTAGTTTCCCTCACACTTTTCAGTGTAAATGGACTCTAAAAAGGAAGGTGTATAATTGTAGACTCACACGTACACCAAGGATAAGATTGGAAGAACCACACCAAGGTGAAAACCCTCATTTTCTGGTAAGTTTATGGATTTTTAACCTTTTTAAAAATTTTCCCCATCTTGTGTAATAGGTATTATTGACTAGTTTTTTTAAAAAAATAGCAGATTCAAAAATGAGAAAACAGGAGGTTTAATAGCTGACTAAAGATTTCTCTAGCAGGATCTGTACCCTTTCCATTTCACATTTATTTCTGTATAATAACTTGACTATAAACATCCTGAAGAGGAATTCTAATTAGAATGCTATAGAAATGGAAATTTTAATTAATTATTTTTTTTTTTTAGTGGAACTGGGGCTTGAACTCATAGTTTTGCACTCCAAAATAGGTGCACATCTGTTCGAGCCACATCTCCAGTCCATTATGCTCTGGTTATTTTGGAGGGTGTCCCACGAGCTATTTGCCCAAGCTAGCCTCACACTGCTCAATCCTCCTGCTCTCTGCCTCCTTGATAGCCAGTGTTACAGGATTCAGCCACCAGCCCCTGCAGAAATTTTAACTCCTAATTTTTGCTGAATCATCCCTGGCAGCTTCCAGATCCTATCCTTTTATAATTGTATAATTCTTTGGTTGGGCTTTTTTGGGGGTAAAGATGAGCATCTGCCTGTTGAAAGCCTTAAAAACCAACACATCACATTTCATAAGGTCTCACATTGTATTCAAGTGCTTGATTGTTGATAGGTTGTTCACCTGTCATCTTAAAATGGTTTCTGATTGAATAGATACATAATTTTTAATGCTTTAAGATGAAATATGTTGTTATAAAAGAGGTTAATCCTTATGAGAAAAACTGTTGTTACTGGTCATATCTATTCATTATTGATCAATGTTCATGCTAAGTGATTTTACATAAAGCTACTGAGGTCTACTATATCCTGGTAGCCTACCAAAGCCCAGTTTTGAGAGAAAATTGTTTGACTGCTTAGTGAGAGATACCTTGGGTTGAGGAGCTGCCTGTGAATTCTTGGTAGGTACAACAACTTATTGTTTCTTTCCTTTCTTAATAGTACAGTTCTTTTCCAGATCAATTTCCAAAGATTATGCCATCTAAAGGGAGTTCTGGTTTTGTTTTAGTCTTTTAGTTGAGACATCACAGAGACTTGATGCTAGAATGTTACCGGCATACTTCCAGCATTCAAATATTTTTTGTTCTTATTAACTTTTATTGATAATGCTGTTACTTTTTCAGAGTGTTACAGAGATCAGAACATGGGAGAGAAACAATCTGGATAACATGAAAGTGATGCTGCTGACTAAGGGAAGGCAACCTGATTCTATGGGAAGGGCTGTAACTGAATCAATCATTGTCTAGGTAAGCCTACCTTAGTTATAAGGACCTTCCTTAATGATTTGCAAATTTTGGTTATAACTAGATCATGATTTCCATTTATCTTTATCTTGAGAATGACATCATTACAGTTCTGAAATGATGTTCTTTTGTGTAGAAAAATTTTACTGCACATTGTATTTCACTATGAATCATTGGGTCTTTGCCATGTAAATATTAATATACTTTAAGTTTTTTTCTGCCAAAGGGAAATATATTCATTTAACTGATAAATAAATGAATGGACTAATATCTGTAGAAGAGTCAACTATTGAATGATTAAATGATACATGTCAAGACTTAAGACATCTATGTTACTTAGTAGGTAAAAACAGGTAGACAAGACCAAAACTTGAGTATTGAGGCAAGAACTTCATTGAACCATAGTGATTCTGAAGACTTCAACCAGACCGTTAATAATCCAATATATTTACCCCTGCCAACCATGAGATACTGGATTCAAGACTGATCATTTAGTCTGTGAATAAGAACAAAATAATAGGCCGTATGTGTAAAATAGCAGGTTAAATGCACATTAAATAATGAGTTCTTTATTTCAAAAGAAGGCCTAACTCCGTACCTATTCAGAAAGCAATTTGGTCAACAATGGATATACATACTTGTTTAATACTGTGAAAAACAAGAGCAAGAAGAATTGTTTAGTGTTTCTGTTTTTTACATAGTAGAGCTTTAATACCTATTATTCCAAATTGTTTTGGAAAAATAGAATGATTCTTAGATAAAAGTTGATGAATCTTCCAGTAAAAAAATCAGATGTTAAAAACCTTTTAGATTATATCACAGATAAACAGATTCAAACAGATTTTCTTTAATCAAATGTAGTAAAAACAACTTTTTTTAAAAAAGTAAATGCTACAAATTGTTTACATTAATCATAGTAGTAAGATTGTTGCACATTATTATACCTAATTCTACATAATGAGTATAAGGTCTGAAAGGCATTTTTTGAAATTATTTTCATTAAGAACACTGTAGAAAAATACCCAAGTAAATTTACAGGGTACTTGAGGGGACTATTTCACGTTCCTGTCTGGAAATAAATTTTTAAACCCTAATCTGGAGTCTATTCTTAACACAGATTTGAGTATGAGCACAGTTGAAGAGGATTCTGACACAGTAACAGTAGAAACTGTGAACTCTGTGACTTTGACTCAGGACACAGAAGGGAACCTGATTCTTCATTGCCCTCACAATGGTAGGAGAACTTGCTAAAATATAATTGTGACTCTTGAGATTTCTGGATTCCATGTCACCTTTGATCCATATTACCTAGATAGACAGTTTAGGTTAGTATGGTAGAAAAGGAGGTTGTTTCTTAAGATTGTAATTAATCTTAATTCCTATTTGTTTTACTTTTATATTTTTAAATATACTTTAATATTTTAAAAGTTTACCATAAATTTTAGCTTTTACCAATCTCATACATATTTCATAAATAGGATCTGTTGAGTCTCCAAAGATGATGGAATAATACTTTTTTTTTATACCATTTGGTTCCAGTAGTGTATTTAATGCATTAGAATATGTAGAAGTACTTTTGCCAGTGAAGATACACCTTTGTTGTTACTGGTAACTGTTAAGTAATTTATATAACTGTTTTAAGATTTATGTGATCATCTGTAATGACTTAAGATTCAAAAGTCTTAGAGGCTTATGATTGTTTTTAGTTTTCTACTTTGTATTATTTATTTTCCTTTTAAGTTCTTTATTAATTTAAGTTCTGTCTTCTCTTCACTCTGTGTAATGCTTAGATTATTTCATTCAAATTTGTGGTTTTAACTAGCACCTGTCTACCTATACAGATGTCTCAAACTTCTGTCTCTATTATGAGTTCTCTGTGCTTCTTATAGGCATCTTAAATTCCAAGTGTCTCAAATAATTCTTTAACATAGTTCCTAAACTTATCTCTTTTTCTCTTAGTGTCCCAAATCATAAATGTAGTTAGGAATAAATTCCTTCTCTTGTCTTCCACGTTCATTCCGTCATGAAGACTTGTTAGTGGGATTGTGGGGTTTTTTTTAATCCATGTATTCCTCTGTTTCAGGTCCCTCTTAGTTCATATTCTCTTTTCTCTTTTGGGTGGCTTTCATAGTTTTTTAACCAGTCTCCCATCTCTAATTTATCTTTCAAACTGCAAATGAAATTGGTCATGATAATTTTAAAAGCTTTCATGCATTTTAAAAGACAGTGCTGGTTCTTTAATTTGGCCTTTCATTGTTTCACTTTTCCTCCTAGTCTCCTGCCACAATTTATATACTTATATCTAGTAGCTTATAGTTTTTATTTTCGTAGCACACCTTTTCATACCTTAATACCAATGCACATGTTGCTCCTACTGCCAGAAACAGTAATCGTTTTCCCCTTCATTTCTTCTTCAAGTTTAAGTTAACTCCTTCAGCAAACATTCCTTCTCCTCCAGTCTAAATTCAAGGCATGTCCTCTGTGCTCTCATAACAGATTCTTCATCCAACCTTTGTGGCTTTTGTATCTCTATTTTGAAATTGTTGATTTAGTCATTTCCATTGTACTTTCAGTTCCTTGAGGGTATCCTTAATTGTCCTAGTCCTAGCACTTAAAATATAGTAGGCATTTAGTAAATATTTATGAAAGAATCATATAACTGGTCCTTCTCTTTGTATGTGAAATACTTGGAAGGCCTAGTTGATTTAAAAGATAGCGCCTTTGTTCATAGTCCCTTGTTGTAAGAATAAGAGCTGAGCTGCAGTAAGCATGGAGAAAGCAATGTCCTTTAAGGCCTCCTTGCACAGCTGGGTTTAGTTAAATGAGAAATGGAATAGAAGATTGTTTAATCAGTGAGAAAATTGTCACAGAGTCATTACTAGGTGGAGATTCTGGGTTTTTTTCCTCATTGATTTAAAGTTTTTGAGATTTTTGTTTGGTTTATTTTTTTCCCCTTCCATTAGAAGCTGATGAAATAGACTCAGAAGATAGTACTGAACCTCCGCATAAGAGGCTTTGTTTGTCCTCTGAGGATGATCAGAGTATTGATGATTCTACTCCTTGCATATCAGTTGTTGCACTCCCACGTAAGTCACTATGTATTAAGAATGTAGAGTTCAGTTCCCCTTTTGAAATCATACTTTAGCTTGCAAAAGACTCAGTTGGCATTTCTAGGTAGGCTTGGACTCTTTTTTTCATTTAGTCAAAAATCTCTTTTTAACTAATACTTAATGAGTACTTATTGTGTGCCAGATGTAGCTCTAAATGCCTTTACATATGTTGTCTAACTTAATCTCAACATTTTTGTGTGTGTGGTTTTTTTTTTTTTTTTTGGTGATACTGGGGTTTGAACTCAGGGCCTTGCAGGTGCTAGGCAGATGCTCTACCACTTGACCCATGCCCCCCAGTCCTTCATACTCTAGTTAGTTTTCAAATAGTCTGGACTGTGGTTCTCCTATTTATGCCTCTGTGTAGGTTAGATGACAGGTGTGTACCACCGCTCCTATCTTACTGGTTGAGATGAGGGTCTCACTAACTTTTTGCCCAGGCAAAAAGATTATAGGCATGAGATACTTTGTCTGGCTTCAACACCTTTTTTATTCTCAACTTGGTTGTGGAACATTTGTAGATAATTTTTACTGACTGCACTCTCCTCCATTAAAAATATATCCCTAGAAGAAACATCTTAAAAATCTTACTATCTTACCTTTATAAAGAGAATAAGATTTTTTTTCACCCTTCTCCATGGACCATATTTACCCTCTTTGAGAAAGCATGCTATAATAATAGGTACTGTTACTATCATTTTGTAAATGGAAGAAATTGAGGCACAGAAATATAATAACATGTCTAAGATCATATTTAGGCATTCCTATTCATATAGCACATAGTCTGTACTGCGTCTTAGATTTGGCATATGATTAAAAAAGACTGTAAACATACCAACTACAATATTAGGTTATTTCTGGTTTCTTCAGCAAAGAATATGGAATACTGTTCCCTACAAAGTGAGAGTAGATGTCTTCATCCATGGTAATAGGAATGGGGCACATGGATGTTGGCGGCACTCTTAACCCAAAGCAGAGATTTATCATACCAAGAACTCCAATCAAGGAAAATCACATTTTCATCTAGTAAAAAGAACTTTCATCATGGAAAATTATAGATACGTACTTTGTTTTTAGAGTTACATGCTTGTTAAATTAAACAGAAAATAAATAATTTTATTTCAATTTATTTTGACACTTATTGAAAAACAGTGTTAATACTGTTTCCAGGAATAGCATAAGCATAAAATATTTCTAATTAGTTTTCTTCTGAATGATTCATATGTTTTTTAAATTTTCTAATTTGACTGTCAAGTTGCGACTCAATTTTAAAATGTAAGTGGCTTAATCTTAATAGATATTTTCTAAACTAGAATTTTTCACTGATTCTTTTGGTATAAATTATGACTAGTTCACTTGTTTAGAGTGTCTTGCTCATGATCATAAGTTCAGACTATACTTGGCATTTTATTCTGTTTTTTGATATTAAACTGAGTCCTTTGTACCCTAATCACTTAATCTAAGAGACTGTGGATATGTTGATATGAAAGCACATGAGCTGCTTGATTTTGGGTCACAGCATCATCACATATGGAACTTAACCTGGAATCTGAATTTATAAAAGGTTGGCAGGAAGTATTTACATGCTCTCTGGTTTTTTAAAAAATATATTGATAAAAATCAATTTAGGCAAGTTTCTTTATTAAAAAAAAAGAAAAAGCAGTTACAGTAAAAGGATGAAGCTTACCCACTCAGCCCTAGGAATCATCTGGCCAGCCTGCCCTTAGCAGCTCAACCTGCAAGGCCTCCCACCCTTGGTTTTGGAATCTAGCAAGGCAGCCTGTCCTGAGAAGCTTAGCCCCAAAAACTAGTCAGATGACCCTATCTACCCACCCACAACCCCAAGAAACAAGTAGGCAGTTTAACCCCCAACTCCTGGTAAACATACCCATGTACCCCTTATGCACCAATAGCCATGTTTTTACCCTTGTGCCCACTAGGGCACTGTACCCCACCATCAGACTTGCTAGAATGGCTCTGTGCCTGCATAGCCTTCAGAAAATGACAGGCACCCTACTTCCATTACTATTCCAACTACATCTTGCCTTCAAGGGTCCATGAGAGCAGCCCTCCCTGCATAGAACCCAAAGAAACGGTCTGATGCACAGTGCCTAGAACCACTAGCAAACCAGCCCTAACTAACAAATCTGTATCCCACCTAGCCATGGTAACCCCACCAATCTGTGACCTAGGATACTGAGTCACCCACAGATATCACCAACTTTGATTACAGCTAAAAAAAATAAAAGACTATACAGGCACTATACTACTATACCTATCTGAAACCAAAGCCAGAGTAGCTTACCTAACCATTATCCAGGAGAATATCTACAGAAGCCATTCTCTAAAACTGGAAGAAGCAACTGATCAGACAGTATAGGGACACAAGAAATATGAAAAAGCAAGGTAACCTGATACCTCCAAGGGAATACATTAGCTCTCCAGCAACAGACCCCAAAGAAAAGGAAACTAGTCAGTTGCCTGTAAAAGAATTCTTAATAATTTTAAAGAAACTCAGTGAGACGCAAGAGACTATATATAATTCAGTGAATTTAGGAAAACAATTTGTGAACTAAATAAGAAATTCATCAAAAAGAGATCATAAAAGAACTTGGAGCTAAAGAACTCAATAAATGAAATTTTAAAATACAGTCAAGAACCTTAACAGCAGACTATATCAAGCAGAATAAAGAATTTCTGAGCTGAATTTACAAACATAAAGTTTTAATAGATCTTAAGACATAATTCAGTAAGACAACAAAAAAAAAGAATTAAACCCTAAACTCTATGAGACTTAAGAGACACCATTAAGCAAACAAATACTGATCTCATGGGTGTTCTAGAGGAGAAGGGAAAGGGGCATAAAAAACTTACTCAACAAAATAACAACTGAAACTTTTCCAAATCCTGGGGAAAATATACACATGCACATCCAAGAAGCTCAAAGGACTCTAAATGGATTCAACCAAAAAAGATCCTATCTGAGGTATAGTATAGTAATCTGCCAAAAGTCTAAGAAAAAGTGTGAATTCTAAAAATACAAATAGGAAAGCATCAAGTAGCATATTAGGGGCTCTTTATTAGACTAACAGCAAGTTTCTTAGCAAAACATGTAGAGGAATTCTGAAGAAAAAAAAATTGTTCACTATACCTAGTGAAACTATCATTCAGAAATGAAAAGGAAATAAAGTCTTTCCAAGACATGCAAATCACTGCCACCAGACCAGCTTTACAAGAAATGCTAAGGGAATTCTTCACTAGAAACAGGATAACTGTAATGAAAAGAAATGAAAGTATAAAACTCACTAACAGAACAGGTACACAATAAAGAAAGAACATAATTAAACCTTAGCTGTGTAGAAAACCACAGTGATGAACACAGTGGAAGACAGGAACAAAGTATATACAAAATAATCATAATTTAAAATGACAGGAATATGTGTTACCAATAATAGCCTAAATATAAGTGGATTGAATTTCCCAATTAAAACATTTATTTAGACTGGCAAATCACTCAAAAACAAATACCAAACAATATGCTGCTTATAACAAATGAACTGGTAAGAACACATAAAAAAATAAATTGAAAGTGAATGGATGGGAAAAGATAGCCAACTCAAATGGAAGTCAAAAGAGTATAAGGGTAAAATGCACTCTTTAAGTCAAAAATGATAAAAAGAAACAACAAAGGTTACTATAATGATAAAGGGATCAATTCAACAAGAGCAAATAACAGGCAGAAAAATCAATAAACATTTTAGTTAAACAGAACATTTCATCCAACATCTGAAGAATATACATTCTTCTCATCAGCACATGGAACATTCTCCAGGATGAATCATATGTTAAGCCACAAAACAAGTCCAAAAAAGTAGTCATCAGACCAGAATGGAATAAAATTAGAAGACAACAAGGGGAACTTTAGAAATCATACAACTACATCTAAATTAAACAACATGCCCTTGAATGAACAATGTTTCAATGAAGAAGTAAGAAGGAAAATTTTTAAATCTCTGAAGACAAATGAAAATGGGATACCAAAACTTAAGGGATACACCAAAACCAATACTAAGAAGGAATGTGACAGCAAAAAGTGTCTATATTACAAAAAGATTTTTCAAACAACCAAATGATACACTCAAGGACCTAGAAGAGCAAGAACAAACCAAAGCAACAACAATTAGAAGGGAAGAAATAAAAAAGATCACAGCAGAAATAAATGAAATAGAGACTAAAAATACATTACAAAAGATAACAAAGAGCCCATTTTTTTGAAACATGAAATTGATAAACCATTAGCTAGATCAACCAGGAAAAAAAAGAGACCCAAATCAATAAAATCAGAAATGATGAAAATTTGTAACTGATTCCCCAGAAATATAAAGGATCATTAGGGGCAACTATATCAGGAACAGATATGAAGTGGATAAATTTCTAGGCATATATCCTACCTAGACATACCTAGGCCAGGAGTTTATCTTGCAGTCCAGGATTGTGGTTTGAGGCCAGTCTGGGCATTAGGTTAGCGAAACCATATCTCAATAGACAAACCAGGTGAGGTAGCACATGTCTGCCAACCCAGCTACTGCAGGAGGCATATGTAGGAGGATCACAAATTGAGGCCATCCCAGGTGAAAATCTCCAGACCCTAAAAAGTAACTAAAGCAAAAAAGGGACATAGCTCAAGTGATAGCGCTCCTGCCTAGCAAGCATGAAGCTCTTAGTTCAAAAAGAAAAAATTTTTGAAAGACCAATAATGAGTAATGAGGTTCAGATGTCTCACCCTAGTTAGAATGGGTATAAGCTTTTTAAAATGTTGGCAAGAATCCAAAGAAAGGAGAACTCTTACACATGTAGGTGGGAATGTAAGTCGGTATAGCTATTGGTGGAAATTAAATCAGTATAGCTATTTTGGAAAACTGTAGGTTTCTCTAGAAATAGAACATCTGTGTTGTTCAACTCTCCCACAGCAAGGTATATATCCAAGGGAAATGAGGTCAGTGTGTCAGCATGATGCCTACACTCCCATGTTTGTTATAGAATTCTTCACAGTAGCCAGGATGTAGAGTCGACCTAGGTGTGTAGACACAATGAAATAGTATTCACCCATAAAAAAGAGTAAAATCCTATCATTTGCAGCAGCATGGATGGAGCTGGGGGACATTGTCTTGGTTGTAGTAAGCCAGGCACAGAAAGCTGAAGGGGTTACTGTCATGGAGTAGGGGCTAAAATGATGGTTGCTGGAGGCCAAGAAGAGTGGGTAAAGGTGGGGAGGGTTGAATGCCAGGTGCAGTTTCATGGGGAGGGAGCTGGAATCTGTGATGGTTAAGCAGCCATCACAGATTTTGTGAATGGAGATGTATAGAAGGGTTTGTGGTGTTCCAATTTTAGGGAAGTAGATGTTTGCAGAGACAAAGGCTGGTTTCCCTGTTTTGATGCACATTGTATGCATGTATCAAGTTTTCACACTGTACCACATAAACATGTACAAAATTACATGTCAGGGTTTTTTTTGTTTTGTTTTTTGTTATTTAAGATGAGGTGGGAGGGGCGGAAGCATGGAATTCTACATCTGGGTCATGTGGTACTGAGCAATGCATTATTCATTGGACTTCATGGAGATGAATTAGCTTTAAGATTTAAATTTAGATGGAATGTTCAGATTTTCCTTTTACATGCTTTTTGTGAATGATATAATTTCTCTTGCGTTACTCATTCTAGCTTACAGCTTTTGTAGTCATCTCCCAATTCCCTATTCATCCATGTTACATGATGGTGATGGTGTTCACTTAGTGATTCTTTTCAGTACCTTAGACTCTTAGTCATTTTGTTCTCCATTTATCACTCTATTACTGGAGGCTGGTGATAATCTCTTTCAGATTTGTTATTTTCTAACACTGCTTCATGTTTTCAACTCATTTTCTCTAACATTCTGTAATTTTTATGGTTGTTTGCCCTACGGGAACTAGAACTTGTTAGTCTTACTTGTTCATTGTTCGTTCTGTATTTGTATCCTTTCTTTTCTTATCTGCTTACAGTTTCATAATTATCATTATAATAACTGTCTTGCATTTACCTTCAGATCCCTTTTCCTTCTCTCTTTTCATTGTTCTTTGGTAAAACTATAACCTTATCTAAATCTGTCTTTATTAATCTGTATTTATTAATGGCAGGTAAATTTGTCTATAGCAATGCCACTCATTGAAAGACATTGGAGAAAAACGGGACAAACAAGCTGAATGGTCTTGTTCCTGATCATTAACCTGAAGTGGGTTTATAATGCCGCCTACCAGTCACAACATAGTTTTTCATTGCTTTTCCCCACTCTTGGATTATTATTTCATAGTTCCTGAAACCTCCAGTATCTCCTCTACCTTTCTTTTAGCTAACAACCTTGGTTTGTACTTTACTAAGACAATTAGAATAACCAGAATATGTATGTATGTGTGTGTACGTGTGTATATATATCTGTATGTGTGTATGTATATACATATATATTTTTTTTGTCAGTATGGAGTTTGAACTCAGGGCTTTGCCTTTGCATTTGCTAGGCAGGCACTCTACTATTTGAGCCATGCCATCACTGCTTTAGATATTTTTCAGGTAGGGTCTTGCATTTTTACCAAGGGCTAGCCTTGGAACTTGATCCTCTCAATCTCCATCTCCCAAGTAGCAGAGATTACAGATAAAAGTCACTGTGCTTGGCCCTGTAACCAGAAAATAGTTTCTGTACATTCCCATCACCACACCCATCTATACCTATGTCCATGAATTCTAGTCTTTATCCTAGCTAAGAACTCTTCTGTTGACCAGAGTCTATCCCTTTTGCCTATTCAAGGATATTCTAGTAATTTTTTACTTTCTCTTCCAAATTGTTAATTTTTTCATTCTCTACCTGGATTATTCCCATCAGTATTATAAACATACTTTTCTTTAAAATAAAGTCTTTTAGCTCACTTTGATCCCTATACAGTTTCTCTTTTTTGCTGGTATAGCAGAATACTTGAAAGAATTGCTTTTACTTACCTCTACTACTTCTCCCATTTTTCCTTACACACTTTGTTCAGACTGTCACTTCTTCACTCAGTTCTGCAGAGACTTTTTTTTTTTTTTTAAGACTTTGTCTTACCTGTCAGCATCATTTGACAGTATTTTTCACTTCCTCCTCCCTGAAACATTTTGGCTTCTAGGGAACTCTTGTTTTTTTTCTGTCCATTCCATAGTCTCTTATACTGACCTGTGCCAATCACCCAGAACTCATTTCTTAGACTGCTTCTTCTGTTTTCACTCACTTCCAGGGATCTCAATTTCTAGTATTAAATATTCTCTTGTGATAACCCCCCCAGGTTTATCTTAGTCCAGACTTCTCTTAAATTGTAGATGTCTAGTAGGTATCTCAAAGTAATGTGATTGAAACTGAGCTCCTGAAATTTTCTAAATAGTTAAATTTGCTGCTTCTACAATCTTACCCATCTTATTAATGGCAGGTACATTCTTCCAGTTGTTCAGATTTAACAAAAAAAAGTTTAATGTCATTGTTGGCTCTTCAATTTTTCCTGTATCTAATTTGTCCATAATCATAGGTTCTGTTATCAAAATATATCCACATTTGAACTATTTCACCCTAGACCTGGCCACTGACCTTTCATATGGATTACTACAACAGCCTCAAGATCTTACTCTAGCTCTTCTCCCTCAATACTTTTCCTCATAACAGTCAGTGAGCCTGATAAAATGAAAGTTCTGTTATATCACTCTATTTAGAATCTTCTGTTGGTTTCCTGTCTCAGCATTAAAGCCAAAGACTTTACCCTGCCCTACAAGGTCCCACAAAATCTCCTACTGTTCCTGTTCAGTTCGGTGTAGCAACATTGGACTTACTGTACTCGTGAACACCCCAAGCATGCCCATCTCAGAACCTTTTTGTTTGACTCTCCTTGAGATACTCTTCCTGAAGACACTGGCATGACTAGTTTTCTTTCTTACTATGTTCCAAGTATTGGAACTTTCCTAGTCTCCTGTCCAAAATTATGAATATGCCCCACCCCACATCCGTTCCCTTTCTGCTTTATTTTTTTCTCTTATAACCACCATCCAACATAGAATTTTATTCATTTTGTGTCTTTCCCCAGTAGTATATAAGCTCCATGAACAGGATTTTTGTTTACCTGATATGAATTAGTTCACAACCAATGTTTGCTGAGCTGAAGAGTATTTATGTGTGGGAGTATAGTAATAAGAATAGTGTTTAGGAAATTAATTGGTCACATTTTTTCCAAGAATATTTTTAGAATAATTATATCTTGCCATTACTGTTGTGGAGATAAATTATTCTCTTCTTGAAGTTTCAGAAAATGATCAGAGCTTTGAGGTGACCATGACTGCAACCACAGAGGTGGCAGATGATGATCTTACTGAGGGAACTGTGACACAAATCCAGGTATAGTACACCTTTGAACTGGTTTCAAAAGATGATCATTTGCACATAATAAGAGCATACGTTGACAAAATGACAACTACAAAATTAAAGTAAGATCTATCACTTTATTCAGGGTCTAGTCCTCACAAGTCTCAGTTGTAAACATAGACAATTGATTCATTCTCTATTGTGTGGTTCATGTCTGTTGAAGCAGGAAATAATATGTGTTCATTATTTATGTGTAAGTGATCTCACTTGAGCTAACAGTAATGGTAATCATGGTTGGTAGTACTGTTCTATCTGGTACTTACAGGACTAGATATATTTTCCATGTGCTGAGAGGTTGGAAAGTAGTCAGTTTTTACTGTTCTTCGGTGAACTTCTTTAGTTGTCCGATAAGCTTTACCTTAAGTTACTGCTATCAAAAGTAATCAGAATTCTTTGCTGTTTTAGTCGGAAGCTTAAATCTATATTACTTAAAAGTTTGTCTGCCTGGTTTATGCCTTCTGTTTCTAGCAACTTGTTCTTTTATTTCAGCTCTTCATTTAATATGAAGTAGAGAACATTATAGCACTTTTCTTTTATGAAACACCACAATGACCATTCACTTAAGAAATATAATAGTTACAAGTTGATATGTAACATAAAGGACTAAGGACATCTCAGGTGGCCTGTTGTAGTAATAAGCATCAAAGTAGTTCCAAAAATCATAGAATTTCCAAAGAAGCAAGTCTCAAGTATTCACAAAACAGCTTTGAGCAAGGTTGGGAGAACCTCACAATTTGCACTTTGATTTCAGTGAGTAATTTGAACTGGATATTTTTTCAAGCCTCTTAAAGCAGTAGAAAATATCCTTCCCTCAAAATGGGTCTCATCGAAGTCATTCGAAATTTGAAAACTATGTAGTTTGACTTCAGTTTTCACACAGTTTTAACTATATATATATAGTTAAAACTATATAGTTAAAACTATATATATATATGTATGTGTGTGTGTGTGTGTATATATATATATATGCACACACACACATACCTTTCAGAAATGATGATTTGATTCTCTTATTTAGCTGATAAAGAGAAGATTCTAAGAATATTTTCTACATTGTAATTCTTAAAAGTAGGTGTTGTATGTGTCAAAGTCTTTTGAGAGCTATTTCATTCTTTACTTATATATAACTTGTGTCACATCTTAAAGAATGATGATTGCCAGAATACATAGGACCTTAAACATCATCTAACCTGTCTCAGTTCTCTTTATAAAAGTCTTAATCTTTAAAAAAAAAATCTGAATGTACTGGCATGAATATAAGACTATAAATCTTTTTGTCCTTGTTGGAGTGATTTCTAGCTGGATTTTAAAATACTTTCATAAATACATATATTACCACCAGATAGAAGAATAAAGTAGCGGCAGTAGAGGCAAGGTTCTTCTCATTGTGCTTTGGTTGTTCACTGACAGCTTATCTCTTTCCAGGTAAGATAGGTTCCGTATCCTCTTCATATTAGAAGTTCAGTTTCTGTTTATTCAAGAAATAGTGCTACCTTTCTTAGCATTTACCTCCATCCAGTGACTTAGTGTAGTAGTTTGCTCATGGCAAAAACTGAATTCATTTGAGTGGCAACTAAGTATATAACTCCCCCCTTATTCTGGTCTGCCACTGATAGGCTCATACTTGATGTGGTAACTCATTTACACTACAGCTTCCTTTAGCCCAAAGTCAGTTCTGTTAAAAGAAGCCTTGTTCCTGCAGAATTTGTTAGATTAGGTATGCCTGTTATTGAAAAATGTAACCAGTAATGATTGTAGAAGAGATCACTTTAGCTGCGATGTTAATAGTATTACTACCATTTATTTCTTTGAAAGGAAGGTGCATCAGTAAGGCTATGAACCATTATCATTATTCAGAGTCAGTCTCTACCAGTTGGCTAAAATGAAGCCAGTGATTTTATAATAGCATCTTTTGGTTTAGCCTGAGAATCCTTTAGTCAAAAAATTGCATTACTGCTGACTGTATATGCAGCAAACTATATCTGAGGACATTAACCAGTTGTAGCCCCCAACACTAGTATTTCCATTTTCCTATCTGGAACTGGTTTCAACTGTATGTGTAAGCTCATTTTACATATGTAAATATACAAATGGTTTTGGAATATCCTACATTGATTTTTGGAGTTTTTGTCTATGGATAGCCCAGACTGACTTCTATCTACTTGCAGTCCTCCTACCTCAACTTCCCAAGTGCTAGCATGAGTGTGCACTATCACACCCAACTTCATACGTTATTTAAATAATGTGATCTTAGCCCATATTTTAAAAAGTGAATTCCATATTACTATATTAGAGTTTATAATGCCTAGTATTTAACAATACAAAGATATGCATTAAATCAGGCTGCTACTTTTTTTTTTTTTTTTTTTTTACTTTGGCCTTTTTAAGATATTGCAGAATGAGCAATTAGATGAAATATCTCCCTTGGGTAATGAGGAAGTTTCAGCAGTTAGCCAAGCATGGTTTACAACTAAAGAAGATAAGGATTCTCTAACTAACAAAGGTAAGGTACAGTATGAATTTTAGTTCCAAATAGAAAAAATGGAGATACAAAGGGCTTGTAGTCATCAGGATTCTAAGTTGGACTTCCATCATTGTGATTGAGTAATTATAGTAATTGAGTTTTTCTAACAGAATTAAATTTCACCCTGAATGACTTTGAATGAGGCAAAGACACCAAGATTGTTTCTCAGTAATTATTATCTTTCTGTTTCTGATACAAGTAGGTTTTGTCTTGTAAATTTTTGAACAAATGTGCAGTGGTAGCATTTAAAAGAAGATAAGTTATTCCTTATGAAAGTGGAAAGAAATCTAACTTTGGTCTAAAAAGTTCTTTATAAGCTTAAGTAACAGTGCTTTTAGTGCTGTTAGGCTTACAAGCATAGATGGGAAAGTTGCTATTTAAAAAAAAACAAAACAAAAAAACCTAAGGGTTGTATATATCCCACTCAGAAGTAAGGAAAGGAAGCAGAAATAAGTGAATTAATTGTTTTCTAATACTGTACAGTGAATACTCTTTAAGAATACAGTATTCACTTGGTATTCAGTGTATTATGTTTATCTTGTCCTAGGCTCTTTCGTACAGGTTCTTTTGCCTATATAACTTATTTTTTCCTTGGAGAAATGTTTCAAAAGGTTTTTAGCATAATAAGTCTTTTTTAGCAATTTTATACTTCTGTAAGAATAAGCAAAGTAATATTCTTAAAAATGTTTTTTAAAGGACATAAATGGAAGCAGGGAATGTGGTCCAAGGAAGAAATTGATATTTTGATGAACAATATCGAACGCTATCTAAAGGTACCCCATGACATTTTTTGTTTCACCAATTTGTTTACTGTCAGTTGCAGAAATATTCAACTAGTATTCTATGTGATTATTAGGAGCCTTTTGTAACTGATCATTAATACATTAATAATTCTAAGGTCCGTGATTATAATTTTAAACAAATTTTGAATTCTCAGCATAAAGTAGCTTTGTTGCTTTAGTACCACCTGAAGTTTAGTCAAAATCTTTGTAGGCTTTCAATATCTTAATGTCTTTTCAAGTAGCCTGTAAATTAGTTTAATTTATATTGCCTATAGCCTGAGGGTATGTATCTTCTTCAACTTAGAACATCATACTAGTCCATTCCTCTTTTTAAAAAAAATCACAATTTTAGTTCATTTCATATTTAGTCTATTTCCTTCATTAACCACAGAAGAAGGGGCTGGGATGTAGCTCGGTGGTACAGCGCTTGCCTAGCATGCGTGAGGCCCTGGGTTCGATCCCAGCACCAAAAAAAAAAAAAGACAAAAAAAAAAAACCACAGAAGAAGTCTATTTCTTCTGTATCTTTGAGCACAAAATTTTTGAGGCATTGGAGACAAATTTTCTTAACACGTAGTATGTACTTTTGAAAAACTAGCAGTCCATTGGAAAAACTATAAACAGGTAAAGAATGAGACAAGACTTTCTACCATATGAGCGATGATATGTGAGTTACACTAGAAGAGTTCAGAGAAGGAATAGCTTATTCTGAGGGTTGGAACAGGTAAGAAAAAATTTAGGAGGAAAAAGGATTTGAACTGAGTTTTAAAGGAGTAGAACCTTGACTACAGGAAACAGTGTGCATAATAATGCCAAGTGGCAAGTAATCAGAGATGAAAAAATACCTGACATATTAAGTTAACTCCTTCAACTTGGATCAAGAAACTTGAACACTGGCCTTTAAAGTTCAGGCGAAAGAATTAGAGCTTTATCCTATAGGAAATAAAAAGCATTAAAGATAAAGAAAGCTGGTAGCTTAGTCAAGTGATCGATTTGTAGGGTAGATTAGTACTCTTCCTCATGGAAATCTTTTCCAGAGACTTGTTGCCTGTTCCCATAATAGAGTTTGAAATGTAGACCATTCACATTGTTTGGGGAAAGGGGGTGAGTGTGTACAGTATTTAACCATTCTCTTAGTGTTTAATATATAAAATGTTACTGCCTAGAATGTCCACATTCTTGAGCTTAATTTTACGTATAAATTAAGCTCTGTAAGCCATAGAGTTTAGAAATCCTTAATTCCTTGCTGATGAATATCTTTTGACCCAGTTTATTGTTTAAAAAAAAACTGAGAATATTGAAAATGTATCCAAAAGTATATTAAAAGTTGTCCACTGCTCACATACACTTTAATTAAAACTAAAGAGAGAGAGAGCAAAAACTGGAAAAGGGTTAGATAAGTCAGTAAAGAGTGGTAAGAAACATTAGGTTTGGGGAATTAAGAAGATGTTTTCTTAGGTCTCTTCCAACTTAGTGATAAATGGGCAGGAGTGTAACTGGGATTTAAGATCGTTTAAAGGACGATTTCAGTAGACAACTGAGAGTGCCAAGAACTGTAACTACTGTCAAATTAGAATTGGCAGGGAAAAGCAGGAAGTCTGTGTGGATGTCATTTGATGGATAAAGATTCTTAATTTAAATATCAAACTTACCATCTTTTTACTTCTATGTTTCGTGTGCTTGTTCAAGAAGTCCTACCATATCAAAGGCATAAAGTTGTTCTCATGTATTGTCTCATGAAAGTTTTATAATTTTGCCTTTTGTGCTGATTTTTTTTCTCCTAGAAATGCGAGATTGGGTTTACATCTATCTTTTTCTGTCCTAAATCAAGTTTTCACAGATTTCTTTCTAGGTTTTCTAATTTGTTTCTAGGTTCATTTTGATATACCTACACCAGAACAACACTATCTTCAGAAGTCCCAATTGGGCGAGTCCCTTCATGAATGTCTTAGCTATTCTTAGCCCTTTAATGAAAAACTGATGGAATTCTTATTGGGATCACATTGAATCTGTACAACAATTTTGGGGGGAAATTAATGCCTTTATACTATTTTGCCTTTCTTTTGACGAACATGGTATAACTCTCCATTTTAGTTAGTTCCTCTTTAATATTTTTTTCCAAATTTTATGTTCTCCATAAAGTATTACTTGCCTAAAATTTATTATTAATACTTTTAATTTTGTTGCTATTTATAAATGAATATTTAAAAAAAATTATAAGCTTTGTGTAGAAATGATTTTTTTTTTTCTGATGGGGCTGGGGTTTTATCTCAGGGCCTTATACCTGCAAAGCAGGAACTCTGCTGCTTGAGCTATACCTCAGTTCATTTTGCTCTGGTTATTTGCGAGATGGGGTCTCACACAGGCTGGCCTTAAACCACGATCCTTCACATCTCAGCCTCTCAAGTAGCTAGTATTACTGGCATGAGCCACCAGTACCCAGTACAAGTGACTTTATATACACAACCTGCTACACTGCTGTTCAAATAATTTTTCAAAATTATTGGGTATCTACATATATAACTTATATAAATAATTATTTTTCCAGCCTATACTTTTAATATGTTCATTTACCAGATTAGCAACAAATCCTAATTTGCAAAGAGTTTTATCATTTTTGAGTTTTTTTTTTTCACATCAGTTGAGTTTTTTCTGGAAATGTGCTGATGTGATTAACCACATTAATTAGTCTGAAATTGACACAAACTTATATCCTTGGGGTGAACTTTCTTTTTTAATATATTGCTGCATTCATTGTACTAAAAATACTAGGATTTCAGGATCTATGCTAATGAATGAGCTTAGCCAAAAAATTATTTTCTAAAATTGTCCTTGTCTGATTTTGCTATTTAAGATTAGGCTAGCCTGATAAAAACAGCAAGGAAGTATCACCATTTTTTTTTTCTTTACTGTGGAATAGTTTAAGATAAGAATTATTTTTCTTTTGACTGGATACATTTACCAGTAATATCACCTGGCTTGGTGTTTTTATTATGGAAAGATAATTAATAATGATTATTAAATTTTCTTGTTACTCTGTGCCTATTTGATTTTCTATTTTTTTCCAGAGTCAGTTATGGTAAGTAGATTTTTTTCCCTCTAGGGATTTATTTATTTTACCTAAATTCAAATTTATTGCCACAAAATTGTTCATATATTGTCTAATGCCTACAGCATCTCTACAGAGGCCCTTTTTTTTTTTCATTTCTGATATTATTTGTGCCTTTTTTTAACCAGAAGTTTATTTCAAATTTTTTAATGTTCTTTTCAAAGAAACAATTTCTAGATTTGTATTTTCTAGTTTGTTTGAATTGGATAAGTTTGTTCTTCTGATTTTTTTCTTTCTTTAAATATATTATAACTTTAAAACAGTTAATAGAAATTGAATTTACTGAATTTGATATAATTTATTTTGGCAGCATTTCAGTATTATTTATCTCAACATTTTAAAGTTACATTTGACTTATTAATTAACTAGCAATATATTTTTCTAAATACCACTGATGACCGTTAACATTAAAGCACGTTTTAAAAGCATAGTATATCCACATGCATTTTGTCAGAAATCCCTAAATGAAAGAAATGTAACCCATTTAGGCACGCGGAATAAAAGATGCTACAGAAATCATCTTTGAGATGTCAAAAGACGAAAGAAAAGATTTCTACAGGACTATAGCATGGGGTCTGAACCGGCCTTTGTTTGCAGTTTATAGAAGAGTGCTTCGCATGTATGATGACAGAAACCATGTGGGAAAGTATGAAAACTTGTAATACTGCATGTTTTCATGTAATTGGGGAAAATAGTTAAGGAAATATCATTTTAAAAAATAGAATTATGATTAAGGCCTTAAGTGAAAACAACTATGATTTACTGTTCATAACTTTATTCTGCAGTTCTACGTTGAGAATGTGATGAAACCGTTATAAGGCCTCTTTTAGAAATTAGAATTTGAATAGCTTTTCATAAGTTCAATTGAAGATTCAACTTACTATATCAAAGTCTGCTTTGTAATAAAGTAACAAAAAGTATAGTAGTGATTAAGGATGTAAGGAGTGTCTAAAATAATAATTGTTCATTGGTAACGTTTTTTTCCTATTTGGTTTTAGAGTACAGCATTTACTAGGACAGTGACTATTTTTTTAAGTAAAACCAGAGTGGAAAATACCTACATATCAGGGACAATTCATGGATTTAATTTCTCTTTGGGAATTTAGGTGGCAGTAGTATGACTTACTAGATAACACTGAGCTGGTGTTAGTTTTCCGCTAGCTCTTCTGCAGCCTGCCAATGAGTGTACGTTTGAAAAGTGAAGGGAATTACATTGTTTTGTGATGGCAAAAAAATAAATTTTAAAATTTAAAATTTAATTTTAAATGGACATTTCATTGGCTATATTGAAAAAAAGAGTATGTCAGATGTCCATGCTCAGCTAAGGAAAATGAAGAGAATTTTAATTTTTTCAATGGTTTCAGAGAATTTTCCCTAAATCCCATTTTTAGCTATAGTTTCCAATGTCATCCACAAGTCTTTCAGAATAGTTCTCATTTCAGAGTGACTGAACCTAATTTTGAAATAAAGGAACAGTTAGGCAGCATAGGAGCAAATATGTTTTCAATGTTCAATTCTCCCAAAAAAAAAAAAAAAAAATATATATATATATATATATATATATATATACACACATTCATACCTGTATTTTAACTAAAAGTAGTCACTGAGTTTTTTCTTTTAAGAAAGTAGAAGCATATTTTTAACTTTTATTAATTCACTTTAAAAATATTCATATGATAAATGATTATAATATTCAGCTCTCTAAATGGAATTCTAACTTAGATAAGTTTTTAACATTCATATTTTAATTGATTTTTAAATTTTTTTTAATTTCTAGATATACACCTGACGAAATTGAGAAGCTCAAGGAGTAAGTTTTAAATTTTGTTTTCATTGATTCTGATTGTTGTTTGGTTTTCATCTTGTAGTTTTAAATTTTTAATTTGAAAATACAAGATTTGTGGCAGGCTGGTATAATTTAATCTTGCTGTTAAGCTTTTGACTGTTACAAAAGCTTATCAGATCTAGACCTGTACAGAGTAGCTATGCCCATAGTTTACAAATTTTAGTCTCTGTTGTCAGGCACCAAATGCTTCTACAGACCACTAATGGAGATTTCAGAAAAGATTATATGGACATTTTTGGTGGCCTTAAGACTAAATCTGGAGGATTTATATACCAAGATCAAAACCAAGGTTTTGCTACATGGCTTGATTTAAAATGGTGAATTGGCAAATGTTTTATTGAACTTCTGGGCTGACTCTACCTTGTAAAGGCTGTGAAACCTCAGGAAACAAGGGCTCAGTGCATGGTAGAATGCACAAGGCCCTGAGTTCAAACCCCAGTACTAACCCCAAAAAAAGAATCTCAAGAAACATAATTTTGCTTCTTTGAATTAGCCAAAAATATGATTTTAATGGACTGTGCAGATCATGAAAAAAATTGAAGGTAGAGCCTGATTACAATAAGAACTGTGAAGCTTTTTTAGATGTCAAAAGAATGTATATGCTCAAAGGGGAAAATCTGGGGATTGCCTGGGAGATTGTGTCAATAACCTGGGGGAAATTTGGTCTTTTTTGAACACATATCCAAGTTACTTATTTCTTCTCTGACCCAGGAAAAGGGCAATTGCTGCCTGTTTTTTTTTTCACCCACAGACAACTGTGGACCCCAATAAAAGGCCACACTTTCAAACTTTGGCTCTCAAAGTATTGCTGCCCACAACTTCCAAACCAGTCAAATGGGAAGAAGAAGAATGAAGAATAAATGATGAAATTAAAAGGGAGAAAACAGTTGAACCAAATGCTGATTGGCAGACTCTTGTTTTAGGCTCCGGATAAAGCATGGCAATGACTGGGCAACAATAGGGGCGGCGCTAGGAAGAAGTGCATCCTCTGTCAAAGATCGGTGCCGACTGATGAAGGATACTTGCAACACAGGTACTGTGAGTGCTACTTGTGGGTTTTCTTGTCACCATTTGAGCCTCCTACCTTCAGATACTGCCTTCTCACTTAGAGAAACAATTTATGCCATTCACCTTAGTTGAAGGTCAGTTACTGCGTAGTCTGCCCTTTTTCTTTTTTCAGCTTAATAGATATATCTAACTAGTCTTTGGTTTTGTGCTTTTATATAAGATGATTTTGTTCATAAGGACACTGAACATCTCTTCTAGCCTGTATCTAAGTTGGGAAAGTATTTATTTTTAAGACATACATACAGGAAGTAATTTTAATTTAGGCTCATCTAACTGCACTTTTCAGCAACAAGGGCTTTTTAACACGTTTATGTTTAGTTGCAGGCAAATCCCAAATTAGTAAGAAGCTGTGTTCCAAAGATTTGTTGGATTTTGTTTATTTCAAACTTGAAGTATATTTTCCCATAAGATAAATTTATGGTTATTGTTCTTTCATTCTCGAGCAAATGTATTGATAGTGTTAAACCTAACCTTTGTGACCAATAATAGCTCTGTTATTAGTTATCACTTAACCTTTAGTTATCAGTTAACCTTAGTTATCACTTAACCTTTACTTTCCTCTGTAAAAGGAGTAGGTGCTGTCATAGTTCTCTTTTTGCCCTAATGTCTCTGAAGGATCCATAGTCTAAGTTCAGTCTTTTAATTAAGAAAAAAAAAAGTTCTCCAGGTTCTAGGTTATAGTTTTTGTTGTTACTGTTTTTTTTTTTAATCACTATCTCCTTACCCTGCGAAATTGAAATCAAGACTTTTTCCTCCTTACCTACTCTACCATCACTGTGACCAACAACAAGAACATAAATTTCACCCACTCCCATCATTCTTTGGTGTGGCTAGCTTAATAATGAAGTAGGGATGGAAGGATTAGATTTAAGGTAAGACCCCAGAGGTTCACATACAATACTATAAGCACAGAACTCCTTTTGTTTCATAATTTAGGAGAACAGTACCATTCTCTCCCAGCCTAAGTGGTTTGCTGGCTTCCTTTCATATTGTGATATGACTTCTAATGTGTATTCTCCTGTGTGCCACACCATGAAACAAATCCATCCACAGTATCCAGAACTGTGCCTAATAAACATAGTGAATAATTGTTGAGTGAATAAAATCTCTGAAGAGGCTGTTCAGAAAATAAACTCTAGTACTGTTGCATATTTCAGTCAGTACTTGGAAGTAGAGCTGAATCAGATCTGTGTGAAAGTTGAGAAGGTAGCAGTGGTAGTCTGGATGATTTCCTTCTTTCAGGGAAATGGACAGAAGAAGAAGAAAAGAGACTTGCAGAGGTGGTTCATGAATTGACAAGCACTGAGCCAGGTGACATAGTCACACAGGGGGTGTCTTGGGCAGCTGTGGCCGAGCGAGTGGGTACCCGCTCAGAAAAGCAGTGTCGTTCTAAATGGCTCAACTACCTAAACTGGAAACAGAGTGGAGGTACTGAGTGGACCAAGGAAGATGAAATCAATCTCATCCTCAGGTTTGTATTGCAGATCTTTTAATGACAGCTGCTTATTGTTGTAAATGTGGATTGACTTTACCCTTTTGGTTTCCTGAATATCTTGTGTCTGAAAAGCACCCTTTCCTTAGACAGCCACTGTTTAAGGTCCATAGTATTTCATATTGAGCTGTTTTGTTGGTTTGGTTTGTGTTTGCTCCTTTTTAGTGGATTTAGTGCCAGGCAAAGTACCAGATTAAAGGCATGGAGACTGAAGTCCTCTATATCCACAAAGCAGGTACAGCACAGGCAGCAGCAGTGCAGCTTTTCCACTGTCCCACCATGTGCCTCATGCTAGCCTAAGGGGATGTGTTTAAGCTAAGAGAGCTATTCAGTCTCTATGGTGTTCAGTCCTTGGCTGCTGTGCTTAAGATTACCAACAGGGGAGGTCTAGACTACTGTTACCCCACACTTTCAATATAGATCAAGTCAAACAGTTCCACACCATACAAATTCAAAAATAGCTATAAAATAATCCCAAGTTTTTTGACTTTTTGGTGGCACTGGGGTTTAAACTCAGGGCCTCACACTTGCTAGGCAGGTGCTCTTACTGCTTGAACCACTCTGCCAGCCCTTTTTTTATGATGGGTTTTTTTGAGATAGGGTCTTGCAAACTATTTGCCAGGAGCTGACTTTGAACCACAATCCTCCTGAGAGCCTAAGGTTACAGGCATGAGCATTTATAAACATTTTTATTTGTTTTACAAATGGAAAAACTCAGCTAGGAAATAACCAATTTAGTAAAAGCCACATTAAAACATTGCAGAACACTGTACAACTAAACCTTTTCTTTATCTGATTCTAACCTTTAGCCTGCTCCTTTTCCTTCACAGTGCTTCAACTGGTTCTAACCATTTACGTATGGTTCAGCCCACTGGTTATACCTTTAGTCAAAGGCTGTTGCTGATGCAGTTTCTTAGCTTGTAGCCTTGGAAGCAGGTCTGCACTACTGCATTGCAGGAATCTTTTCTCCATACCACTTTAAGATTAGCATCTTATTGACATAAACTGTCATTCCCTTTATTATCAGTATGGGTAGTACCTGCAGTAGAAAGAAGGTTCTTACAGAGTCTTACAGAGAAATAAATTTAACATCTTGCCTATGCTTTTTTAGGATAGCAGAACTTGATGTGGCTGATGAAAATGACATAAACTGGGATCTATTAGCTGAGGGATGGAGCAGTGTCCGTTCACCACAATGGCTTCGAAGTAAATGGTGGACCATCAAAAGACAAATTGCAAACCATAAAGATGTTTCGTTCCCTGGTAATGTTTGTCTTTTTTTTAAGTTTTTCTATTCTCTTACAGTGTTTACTCTGAAAATTAGAGGTTGGAAATTCTTTGCCTCGAAGAGAAATTGTAGCAGATTTTCACTTAAACTTCTGCCCTGTTTGAGTAATCATCTTTTCTTCCCTAGAGAAGAGTTAATGTGATTTGTAATTCTCAAAGCCCGAGAGATGAAAATAAACACCTTTATAAACATTCTTATTCTTGCATATAAGCTATGGAGAGGAAAAAGTTGTACATGTTACCAAATTCATTCTCCTTAGGATAGCACTCAAATTACCATTTTTTACAAAGGAAAATTAAATGCTGAAGAACTTTCACTTGTTGAAAATGTGATTTAAAAAATAAACACCCAGTTATAGAGGATTAATATACCTTATCATGAATAAATGAGCAAGACCTTGAAAGGGTTGCATATTACAGTTTAGCAATCAAGCATAGCCGTTGAGTCATTGTGTGTACACTGTTTTGAGAAATAAAAAAATGCTGCTTTAACATCACCAGTATTCTTCCAAAATAAGAATTTTGTTAAGTAGTCCTGATACAAAGAAAATATTTTATTTCCATGTTCTTAACAATGTCCATTCTTTTTCTTATTGTTGTTGTTTCATTATAATCCTTAGGTAACAGGAACAATAGTATCCTACGGATTTAAAAGATCTGGCTGGGCACAATAGTACACACTTGTAGTTGCAGTTACTCAGGAGGCTAAAGCTGTGGGATCACTTTACCCAGGAATTTGAGATCAGCCTGGCACCATATCAAGACTACCCCCATTTGGGGGAAAAAAATAATTGAAATGTTATGAAGGATGCTTCTAAAAATTTTAGGGTTAATATTTCTACTGTCATTTTGATAAGTTCTCATATCCAAAATGCAATTATTACTTTCTCTCCTCACCCCCTCCTACCATACCTCCCTTGTTGCTTAAGATGGTGGTCAGTCTGAGAGTCAATGTTCTTTCCGTCTACCCATCTCCCTTCAGTTTTAATAAAAGGTCTTAAACAGTTACATGAGAACCAGAAAAACAACCCAGCGCTTTTGGAGAATAAATCAGGATCTGGAGTTCCAAACACTAATTCCAATTCCAGTGTACAGCATGTTCAGATCAGAGTCGCCCGCTTGGAAGATAATACAGCCATCTCTCCAAGTCCCATGACAGCATTGCAGATTCCAGTCCAGATCACCCATGTCTGTAAGTGTTGGAGCCTCAAGACTCTGTGGTATTGGACCTTTATGATTTAATGGCTCCGATGCTTTTCAGTCTTCTAGAGTGTTGATAGAAATCTACCTAAGTTGATGAATTAAAAAGACATCTAAGGAATTTTATATTTAGCTCAGTTAATATTTGTATAAAGTATGAATATGTAACAGGAACTTTTGATCCTTAGAACGATATAAAGTAGCAGGACATATAACATCTCTGAATATTAGTTTGGATTAAAGTAAATTATTTTCTGAAATTACTAGAAAGCAGTGTCACTAGATCTAATACCTAATATGAGGAGACTACCAATCCAGACATTTATTTGGTTTATCAGAATGTCCAGAAAAACCTGTTCCTTTCTCTTGACATATTCTTTTTGTTCCCTAACAATAGAAATACTTTATGGTACATACATACCAATGGCCAGCAAACCTTTTATATAAAGGACCAGGTAGTAAGTATTTTAGACTTTATGAGCCCTACAGTGTCTGTAACAAGTACTGTTTGTAGTTGCAGTGTGAAAGCAACCACAAAAAAAAAACAGAACTTGCAGTGGGCTAGAATTGTCTGTGGCATATGTTTGATCTAAATACCATCCCAGATAAACCTATTAATTTCTTTTGTAAGAAATTTAAATGACTTCAGATTTGTAGGGAAATTATTCAATATGAAGTTTCTGTCATGACAATTGAATATGCTACAGAAACTTTACAAAGTTTTTTATTATTGTCCTTGTTCTTATGACAGCTTCAACAGACTCCCCTGCTGCTACTGTTGACTCAGAAACAATAACACTAAACAGTGGAACACTACAGACATTTGAGATTCTTCCAGTGAGTAATACTTCATCTAATAAATATTGGCCATTTTTATGCACAAGAAAGATTAGTTAGTATCATTTTTAGAAAGGCTACCATATAATCAGGTGAAATTAAAAATGTGCCGGGTAGATAGTAGCCTAGACATAAATCAGAATTTTTTTTTTTTTTTTTTTTGGTGGGACTGGAGTTAGAACGCAGGGATTCACGCTTGTAAAATGGGTGCTTAAAAAGTTTGAGCCACATCTCCAGTCCATTTTGCTCTGGTTATTTTAGAAATGGGGTTTCATGAACTATTTGACTGGGTTGGCCTTGATCTCAGTCTCCCAAGTAGGTGGTATTATAGGCGTGAGCCACTAGCACCTGGCCCAGACTTCCACTTTTATAATTCATTTCCATTCTGCTTTTTCTCCATCTGTACACAAGTATTTTCTTTTTATATATGAAAATGGCAATACTAATGAGCACATACTATGGATTTGTTGTACTGAGTCATAAGTAAATACTTGTTACTTTAGAAAAAGGTGATCAAGTCATTGTTAGTAATGGCATTCGTTCAGTACAGTCAGCACTGTAGTAGCCACTCAGAATACAAAATTTAAAAGTCCCAGTCCTTAATGGTTGAACCACTTTGAAAAAGTCTTGTAATTTCTAGAAAGGCTAAACATAGTGTTATTAAATGATCCTCCAATTCAAATCTCAAGTTATACCTAAAAGAAATGGAAATACCTGACTACATAAGAACTCATATGTGAATGTTCAATTTTGATCTTTTCTTGGGCTAGCAGTATGTGCCCGGGATGTTGGGCAGTAACAGAAAGCTGCAACCTGTCAACCACACAGTCACAGGGAAAACAACATTCCACAGTGTACTGGGCTACTATGAGATTTGGCATACTACATATATTAAATGAACTTTTGACTTACGATATTTTTAATTTGTGATTGATTTATTCTAATTCCATTATAAGTGAGAGAAATCTATATGGCTCTGATTTATTTGAAATTCCCCCATCAGGCAAATCTGTAGATATAGAAAGTAGATTAATAGTTGCATCTGGCTGGGGGTTATGGGACATAATGTATGGTGGGTTTTTTTTTTTTTTTTTTTTGGTGGTGATGAAAATTAAAAACCAAAGCCCAAAGCCCCAGTCCTTGACCCACTCTCTTAAACAATTTAGTAGTCCACAATTACTAAAAAGAAAATACAACTTTTATTTAAATTACATCAAGATTTATTTACTATAAGAACATAAAGGTTACAAAAGTTCATTCACCCTTTCCATAGCCAAATCCTAGGAAGATGGCCAACACAGCAGAAGGTTCTGGGCTGGCAAAGTGGCTCAATTGGTAAGAGCACCTGCCTAGCCATGAAGCCCTAAGTTCAAACCCAAGTGCCACCAAACAAATAATCAACAAAAGATTCTCTTTCAGTCAGGCACTTGTGGTTCATGCTTGTAATCTTAGCTACTTGGGAGTTTGAGATTGGGAGGATATAGGTCAAGGCCAGCCCAGGCAAAAAGAGACCCCATCTTAACTAATAGTTGTGAACAGTGGTGAGCACCAGTCATCCCAAGCTACATGGGAAGTGAAATTGTGAGGATCGCAGTTCCAGACCAGCCGAGGCAGAAAAATTCATGAGCCCATAACTCAACAAAAAAAAGTTGGGCATGGCAGTGTACACCTGTCATCCCAGCTGTGGTGAGAAACCTAAAATAGCCTCCTACTGGAATGCAGTCCAGGCCAGCCTAGGCAAAAAATGAGGCCTTATCTCCAAAATAACCAGAGCAAAAAGGGCTTAAAAAGTATGACTTAAGCAGTAGAGTGCCTGGCTTGCAAGTGCAAAGTCCTGAATTTAAACCCCACTACTGCAAAGAAAAGGTTCTCTCCCATCCTTGGAACTAGGCTATGGCAGTTTACTTAATCTAACCTTGCTTCTTAATCCAGTGTTTCCAAAATGGGAATGTATATGACATACCAACCATTTAATACTATTGGAAAACTTTTTTTTGTATTTTTTATTCCTGCCTCCAAATTCAAATGTATACACACATGTATTTGGGTTATGTTCATTTTAGGTTTTTAGGGCATCACAATCAAATATTTTAGGACTTCTGTTTATAGAATGATAATATTAAATTACCTCCACTTCAAAAAATTGAGATTTAAAATATATTTAAGTGTATTAAAACGCATGTGTAATACATGTAACCTTTAGGAAAATGATTAGCTTTCTCTCTTATGGAAAGAAAAGGGAGTACCCACTGGGTGCTGGGCACTTTCATAATCATTTCTAACCCTAACAACCCTTTCCATGAGAAATAGCTATTATTCCTGTGTTAACAATAAGGAAACCTATATAAACGGAATTAGCTATACAGAGTTGTTTTGGCCAAGTCCACAAGATAATATTAGACTAAAAAGCAGGCTATACAGTTTTACCCACCAGTACTTTTTCTTTAGGCTATTAAGATAAACCTAAACTTGTGGTATAAAAGATTAATGAATAATTTTGTTATAATCAGTTAACCTGCTTTTTAAAAAAGCATCTTCAGGAACACATTGCTAATTGCTGTTTTGGCACATTTAATACAAAGACTGTTTCCTAAAATTTTACTATGGGAAACTGTGTTAAAATGAGTAAACCCTGTTGTGTGCCTTTTCAAAAACTGGAAGGATTTTTGTTTTTGTTGCCTTTAAACTGGGAGATTACCACAGTTTTTATGAGAAAGTTTGACTACATGCTAGGTTACTGTACTGCAGACGGTGGCTCATGTTGTCTTGGTGTTCTGAAACAAATAGCTGAAACCAGAACCTAGAAATACATGGGAGCAAATGGCAGGATAAATGCCTTACTTGTTAACCTCCAGGTAATGACAAGATAGATTTTATTACTTACTAGTTTGCACTTTCATGAATGCTAACTAAGTACATTTATGGTTACTAAATTAAGATCTGTTTTTAGATGTACAAGTGGACTTAATCAGTACTTGTTGCACATGTGTTGTACTATCTCCTTTTTCTTTTTCCTTAGTCTTTCCATTTACAGCCCACTGGCACTCCAGGCACCTACCTACTTCAAACAAGCTCCAGTCAAGGCCTCCCCCTAACTCTGACTGCTAGTCCCACAGTAACTCTGACAGCTGCTTCTCCTGCTTCTCCTGAACAGATCATTGTTCATGCTTTATCCGTACGTTACACAATTTTACTTGATTTTGGAGTATCTTTACAGACCAGCATTAGTTGATATAAAATATAAGCACCAAAACTGTAAGGCAGTTTAATCTATCTAAGCATTTCTTCCTACCACTTTTGTCACAGGTGCATTATGTTGCACCATCATTCTTCACTGGGATCTCTCTAATCTCCTGCATCTCCTTATATTAGATGGACTTATATTAGAATAGGGAATTTTAAAAAGCAAGCAATCCAGTGGGTAAAGAATAGGAGTTCTAGAAAAATAGTGATAAAAACATGACAATTCCACGGGTGAGAGATATGGGAGGAAGCAATCGGATACCACTTGTAATTGTCATTTCTTGTTTTGCCATTGATAGTTTCCTTTAACATTTTATAGCCAGAACATCTGTTGAACACAAGTGATAATGTCACAGTACAGTGTCACACACCAAGAGTCATCATTCAGACTGTTGCTACAGAAGACATCACTTCTTCCATATCCCAAGCAGAACTAACAGTTGGTGATATTCAGTCATCTGATTTTCCTGAACCTCCAGATGCACTAGAAGCAGACACTTTCCCAGATGAAATTCATCAACCTAAAATGACTATAGAGCCATCATTTAATGATGCTCATGTATCCAAATTCAGTGACCAAAATAGCACAGAACTGATGAATAGTGTTATGATCAGAACAGAAGAAGAAATCTCTGACACAGACCTTAAACAAGAAGAATCACCCTCTGATTTAGCCAGTGCTTACGTTACTGAGGTAAGCTCCACATAACAGAACAACATCCTAATGGGTTCTTGCCTTGGTCTGAAAATATGCACTTGGAAAGATCTTAGAAATACTTTAGAAGGATATTCTCCGGCAGCTTGTTTTTCTTTAAATTAAAAAAATAAAGTACAACTCCTTACCTCTGACTGCAGAAATATCAGTGTACCAACAGTTGTTGCTGATCAGTAGAGAAGTGTTTATTAGAACCCACTCCTGAGTGTGGTTAAAATAGATCTTTGTGGTTTATCTTAGGAACCTCTCTATGTTCAGATGGACCTATGACTGAAATTGGCTCTTTTAAGTTCCTGTGTATTAGTATTTAGTACACTAAATTATGAAGTTATTGAGGTTGTCCATCTTAAGATTTTACTGTTTTCATTTCTTCATGTAATATATACATTTGAGAATTAAGTGCTGTCAAGTATACGTGGACTTGGGATCATAAGGAAAACTTAACAAGAAATTTGAGTCAGAATCTTATTTTTCTTTTTTTTAAATATTATTTAGGATTTAGAGTCTCCCACCATAGTAGAACATGTTGATCAAACAATTGATGATGAAACAATACTTATCGTTCCTTCACCACATGGCTTTATCCAGGCATCTGATGTCATAGATACTGAATCTGTCTTGCCTTTGACAACACTAACAGGTACTGTAATACAACTCTTATCATGTGCCTGATAAATATAAGGGGAAAAATTAGGCAGTAATTTAATTCATTTTTCTTAGTCTTTTCTTGATCCCCAATAAAGACTCGTTAAATCCTGCACTTTGGTAGAATACATACTCTTAAATTTTTGTCATGGGTTAGAGTAAGTATGTACTTTTAAGACTAACTTGAAACTTAACTCATTACAGATCCCATACTCCAACATCATCAGGAAGAATCAAATATCATTGGATCATCTTTGGGCAGTCCTGTTTCTGAAGACTCAAAGGATGTTGAGGATTTGGTGAACTGCCATTAGGTAATTCTTAGAAACAGTTCAAACAAAGGAGCCACACTGTTAAATTACAGTATCTCCAAAGAAATAGGAGCAACTCCCAAGAGGCTTAATTTACCATTCTTCTAGCCTTTACATAGTTACAGTGCTTAAGCTGTGCACATTGTTGCTGCTGTGACTTTTTACCTTCTTTTATCATCTGAGGTCCAGTTCTATGGCAGTGCATAGTTGAAGGGAATATGGGGGATTTTAACTACATGGATCCCTGTGTTTAGTGTTATTTGTCAGGAACGAGTTTCATTCACTTTGGCTCTGAGAAGTTTTTAAATCACCAAACTTAACTCTGTGGTTTACAAGCAGTAATATTCATCTCTACAGATTAAACATAGCACTCGATCCAGTCTCAAGTAGGCCTGGTTATATTTCTTATCAGCATGGTCTAGAGCTTATCAGTGACCTTCAAAAGATTTAAATAGCATTAGCTTGAGATTTGACCAGCATACAAATACAGGAAACCTACATGACTGTGTGGCAGTTAATTGTGGTTAACTCACTGTTGGCAGAGGGGAGCTGATTTAAGCAGGGTAAAAGAGAAGCATTAAGAGTCAAGAAAATTCACTACACGTTTTTTTTTTTTAATTATTATTATTACTTTTAAAGGGAATATGGATAAAAGTAGTAACAAAACCCGACAGTAACTAAGCAGTTTTGCAGTTTTCACCCCCTCATGAGAAACCAGTCATTAGTTTACAGTTAGGCACTTTGACATAAAATTAAACAGGGGAAGAGGTAACTTTACCTGAATCTAATGCCATGGCTATTTATTACATGTTTTGCTATATAAATTCTCCAGAAAATAGTTGAGGGGGGTATTAGAGTATGTCATTCACTTAGTGCATTACCTGGTAGGGGCACAATATAACTTCTCCCTTTCAGGCAATTTTAAAAACAAAATTTGCTTGTGTAACAAGGAAACAAATCAAGAGTCATTCCTAAGGGGTAAGCCAAAACCAGCCTCTAGGGCTTTAATGAATATGATCCCTATAGAAAAGTCAAAAAAAAAAAAAAAAACTTGTATAAATTATTTTATTTATTACTGTAATTAGATCTTCATAATCAAAGTTGTCTTTTCACTGTCTGTTTTGTTAACGTGAAATTGTAGTTATGAACAAAAGTTGGTTGCCTAGGGAACAATAATTGTATATTCAGTTTAACAGAAATAAAAGAATATTTGTCTTAAAATGCAAGATTTTGAGCCATGCAATTGTAAAAAAATTTTTAATTTCAAAAGTGAAAATTACTTGTGCTATTTGAGGGTTGGAATGTTTTAAGTGCAATATTAGCTCCTTAAAAAAAAAGTAAATGTTTCCTTTGCAAAAGGGAATTTAGATTTATAATTAACATGAAAATCATGTACCAGACTTCTGTAGAAGATTCTTCAGCATACTTTTTCCAAGAGTTATTCGCTGTCCTAATGTATAGTTTTGAAGAGTCCTGGTAAAAGTCTTTTCTCCTCGGCAGCCTCACCTTCCCACATCATGGAAGTACAGGTTCGCACATATACATAACATGATGATAGAAAATATGATATAGTAAATTAGATTTCTAAATTTCGGTTCTAAGTCTCCTTGTCGATACCAGTAGATCTAAAAGAAGAATTAAATGAAAATTTAAGTAATAGCCACTGGGCCAACTGTTAAGATTTAAAATACAACCAATTTCATTTTCAGTATTTATTTCTCTAAATGAGGTAGTCATGAGATTCATGTTAATCTACATTCCTGAGACCAATGCAGCCAGAATTTAATTCTTATCATTTATAATTCAAGTAGTACTGCCAAGTTTCCACATCCCAAGGTCAGTTTTCATTAAAATTTGTATAGTACACCAGTCATCTGGCAAGCTATACAAGAACAGGTATTTTCAATGTATTTGAGTAAATGTATGAACCTTACAGGTACTACTAGAAGTTGGGGACAACTTTTAAATTCACATAATTCATTTGGATTGGCAATATAGAGCTTACGTAATACATATATTTAGATTAAATTATCTCATTGTTGGTCACTCAGGCTTCAGGCCAGGTGTGTACAGGAAGGATCCCAAAGTAGGATAGGTCAGGTAAGGGCAGTAGAACCAGCTCTATTTTAACTCAGATAAATAAATTACTATTAAGATTTGGGCCCTATGTGAGTCACAATCGTGTTTCATGGTTTACTGTTTTCATTCTGCTTCAGCCAATTATTGAACTAATACACGCTGAGGAGCCACCACCATCTTGTTTCTTTACATAAAACAGTGTATGTGTAGTAAAATCAAACATTGTTTATGACAAGGATACAACAGCCCCCAGGAAATATGATAATGGCCTCCATTTGGAGAGTAAGCACAAAGATTAACATAGACTAACTTTGTAATTCTGAGTAAATCCAGTGTGCTATCTCTTCCCAGAAGAACATTTCTCCAAGCCTTTTGGGGCCTATCCTTGAGTCAGAATAAGTACAATAAATTGTAATCAACCAATTTTTTTTTTCTTTTAGACATCAAGGGAACAGAATTTCCCTTTAGGGTTACGACTTAAGGATTTAGGAGAAAAAGTAACATGGGTTTTAAAAAATAATATCCAATTAATGATTAAGAATTCTGACAAGGGGTTGGCATTTAAGATACCATTTTATATAGACCCAGGAATGGGAATCACAGGATCTCAAGAACAATATTCCATTTAAATTCTAAATAGTACTCACAAGTATGCAGGCAGTAATACTACTCAAAGAGATGCAGACAGCAAAAAATATATTCAGCGGTTTGGGAGGTAGTTGAGGGAAAACAAAAGCACTGATCAGCGTTACCTATATAGAGAGAAATTATGTAAAACCTTAGAGGTAATTCCAAGACTTAGTTACACTGAATGTAGGCACATTATAAAATTATATTCACCAGCTTTGTTTTCTAAAATTTCAGTGTTTTATGAAATATGTGTAAATATGTTTGTTTTGTCTTTTAATACTTTCTCCTTTTCTAACTTTTCCATCACTTTTAAAGGGAGACAAAACATCAATGAAAGTAGCTGATCTGAACCTCTTCATTAACAAAGATTATAAATCATTTATATTCCATTCCCAAAATTAATGACTATACTGGAAAAAGTTCTAAGGATCTTGTCATTCTCAATATTTCTACCACAACTGAATATAATCAGAGCTGGGCTTGCTTAATTGTATGGAAAATACTGAAGAATAGGTTTCTAATATCCATCTCCATTTCTACTATAAATACAGCATCATATCCATTAATTCTTTTTATTAACCAGACTATTCTTAATAAACTTAATGAAAGTGTGTGCCAGACCAATGTCATTACCAGATATGGAAATTACAACTTTTTATTGTGATAGCACCCAGCTGTATTTATACAGAATGAAAAAATACCATACTATACATAGCCCAAATCTTTTTAAACTCAAACAAAAGGCAAACTAACAGTATGAACAGAAATGGGAGTTAGCAAAGGAATTAATGACATTTTTGGGCATGACAGATGCTTCACATATTCAATTGGGGTGTTAGGAGATGAAAATCAAAGCTACTTCAGTTGCCAATTGCAGTTTTGTGGTAATAAAATTTAAACATTAATTTGACTATGGAGCATTTCATATGCTCTTTCATCAGCCCTTTTGAAGTTGGCTTGTATTTTTCTTTTTTTGTTGAGAATTAATGGAACAATAAAACAAATATTCAAAACTTTGGTTAACAGCCTGAGTATAGTACAAAATAAAGATACTTACTAGAATCAATAAGGATGTTAAGCTGCCAACAACTAAATTGATGATTCGGTCCTGAAAAAGAAAAGAGTTTGTGTATGTAACTTAGATTCTTTCTGCTTTCAGAATGGTAAGATGCTAGCCATTGGGAGGGTTTTGAATGAAGAAACCAAGATTCTACCCTTTTCTGAGCTTAACACATATATCTGCCAGACAAGGCAAAGTGTACTGGTGGTTAAGAGTAGAAAAGGTAGGTAGGGAAAATGCAGCCAACTAGAAATTTCTTCAAGGAGAAGGACACTTAAACTAGACTCTCAAAAGAGTCTAGAGACTAGACTAAACTAGACTCTTTAAGACTAGAGAGGACAGAATTGGGAAAGAAGACTTGCAATGCAAAGCTGGAACATTTGCCTAAGTGCATAGTGTGAAGGAAGGATGCTGGGCCAGCCAAGCCAGAGCCTTGGTGAAAATTACCAGGTACCAGACTGAGGAGTTTAGGACTGTATTAATGACATACTTTGTGTCCTTGTCTAGTCTAAAAGTAGATGGTGCTTTTAGAAGGGACCACAGATTGCTATAGCTGTAAACAATCACAAAGACCATCAACCTAGTCCAGTAACTTACCACTTTATTTAACAGCAAAAGATGTCAACATATAAGGTAGAAGTAGAATTACCTGACTGAATGGAGAGCCTAAGGTCCTCCCCATTCAGTTTTCTTGTGACTTTGATCCCCAACCAACTCCACAGTGTCTGAAAAACACAGTGTCTGATCCAGTCTTAATTTTACAAGCCACAGTAAATTTAGACATAATGTGCTTAAGTTATTTGCTAAAAAGCCTTACAGCACAGTTTAAAAGCAACTCTGAAACCAGGAATTCCCAAGATTAAAGTAAAAGGTTGACAAGTTATTTACAAAAAAGAAGATGAATTTGATCAAAGTACATTATATGCAGGTATGGAAATATCACAATAAAACCCCTTTTTACAATTCATATTACTAATAAAAAAGCATTATAAAGGAAAAAAGTTCCTGTTGTTAAAGTAAAAAAAAGTTATTTATGAAACTACAGAATAAGGGTTTAAGACTTGAATAGGAAACACTGAAAATACCAAGTAATTTTACTTCTGAGAAGTCAAAACTGAGTGTAACAACAATTTTTTGAGGGGGTGGGGATAAAATCCAGAGCCTTGTGCTCTGCTAGACAAGCACTCTACCACTGAGCTACCAACTCTTGAGTCAGTAGACTTTAAAGAAGAGAGCTGTATATGTATGGAACGTGAGCAGCCTATAAACAAAACCTCAGAGGTGGGAAGGGCACAGGAAATATCACAGTGACAAACTGAACCTTCATTTTCAAGTTGTATGCTTTTCAAGATAAGAATACATAGAGGTTAACAGTCCATTAGGCAAAGCTAGGGAGGGAAGAGTATATAGTAAAACCAAGGGTGTGCTTGCATAACCAAGGACAAACCACAATTCTCCAGATCAAGGCCATTGCAATTCAGAGGTTTTAGGATAAAGGAAACCGAACTCCAGCCACACCCTCATTAGATTTAGAGGACTCATCAGATCTGAAAAACATAGCACGTAGGACTCTGAAATTAGCAAAACTGGTTAAGGAAAAGATGCAGGAACAATTCACCAGTCACTGTTAACTTATTCCCATCAGGACAAATCAAGGTGCATTTAACATAAAATGAACATAAAGATAAAAATCCATAGGAGCTCCATTACTTCTGCCTTATGAAAAAGGTTCAGTTACACTCTTCTGGTCTATTCTCAGAAGCAAAAATATACACTCTCATCCCTATGAGCTCCAGGGATTTGCAAACGTTTACCTCATAAGAGCACATCCACCAATGGAAGTAAGGGAAGAGGTTCAGGTGAGAAGTAGTCAAGGAGATAAATCACTAATTTTAAGTGTCACAGCAACATGTCTGCCAGGATCAAAGCAAAGGGAAAAAACAATGGTAAGGAATAGTAACTGTTCCCTAGAACTTTCACATACTTTCTCTCCTTAAAAATCTTGTGATGAAATAGTAACAAGACTGTTTTATGGATGGCAAAATAAGATGAGTTCCTGAGATCTTCTCCAAAGTCTCATACACCAATAAGTGATGGAAACAAGATTCAATGTCAGGCCTGCTTTCCCCCAACAGAAAAAAATGCTATTTATATTTCTTGCTGGAGGAGCAACCTACAAGCTTTAGACAAAGATGTTAAGTGGCAGATGGCATCTCAAAAAGCCTATTAGTAAAACAGCCTATTAGCTGATTAAGAGTGAAGATTTCCCTATATAAATTTTTTTTCATAACTAGTTTTATTCATTCTGGTGTAGATATAGGTAAACTTTCATAAATACTTGTCTGCCTGCCTCCTGACAGTCACTGAACAGAATTCCAAATCATCTTCATGAGTTATCAGTCATTTTATTACGATACAGTAGTGGTTCCCTCTGGGGCTCCCAAGATGAACTATTTAGCATATTGAAGGCCTTGTTGGCTTTAGGTCTGTTGTTGTTGCTGTTGATATAACCATAAGTCCAAGTCGAAGAAATGACAATGTTGTCTTCTAAACTCCAAGTGTGATCTGTGGACCACAACACGGGCCTCACTGAGAGCCTGTTAGAAATACAGAATATTGGGCCTTGCCCTAGACCTAGTGAATCATAATCTTCATTTTAACAAGAATATTAAAGAAACATTGTTTTAAAGTTTAGAGTCTTAGTAAACCTTTTTGAGAATTCAAATACTATGGCAGAGGCCCTTCCCTGATCCAGAAATTATTTTTCAGAGTTCAGGAAGTTCTTCTAGCTCCCAGTCTCCAAATAAGATAATAAAGAATAATGCAACAACTAGTTGGCTAATTTGGATTTGAAAGGACAGTTTGGGGACTAATTGTACTCCAAATCAAAGCTAGACTACATGGAAAAAAGTGCTGCATTTAAACACTGCTATTTATGACATAAATTGAAACTTGGGGCACTTCTATAGCCAGCATCTGTTAACTATTTTAAATTACTCAGAACTAGCTCTCTTTTTCCCAGTTTTATTTTTACCCTAATTCCACCTACCAAAACTGTTCCCCCCTGCCCACATTTTAAACCTTATACTGTTGCTTATTTTAACTCCCTGAGCAAGCTGGACAGGATCAAAATCAGCATGAATTCTTACCTACTGGAAAAAAGGTTTGGAATTTAGAATATTCTTCCCAAAGCCAAAATATCCAGCAACAGGTTTAGATAACCTTAATTCATACTGATATACACATGAATGTAAAAATACACAATATTCATATGTGTACATGTACATA